ACTAATTCCAAATCAGTTTTAGAGGATCCTTTCTACTTGGCCAAACCTCTTGGCATTGATCTTTCTTAGATTATCCGTAAGCTTACCCATTTACAGCTGGGTCAACTGGAATTATGAGTGAAGATGACTTATTCAAGGTCACCAGACTATCACACGCCGATCGAGATTAGAACCCACAGCTGCTATTTGCTCGTAACCAAGTAAATGACGTCATGTAAAGAAACATATAACATTTCTAAAACGTAGAAGGGACATTTCATAAGTGATATGTATGGATATCACAGTTAATCTCTAGCTAGGACATGACTTTAGAAAAAAGAAAAAAGTTTGAAAGAAACATTCACATCTTATGGGGATAACATATTTAAAACCTCGCATAAAAATATGATGATATTTGATCATCTGTTTTGAAATCAAATTTTGACACCTTAATATCTAGCACTTCAAACTTTACCTTAAAGCCTATATCATATTTACTAGCTTTTATAACCCATGATTATATTACTGTAAATAAATATCAACCAACCTTGATATAACTTGTCCTATTATTTTATATTGACTTTTATGATATAAAAATATAATTAAACAATAATGATAGAGATAATATTACTGTTAGTTAATCTACTACAGTAAACAATAGCTTGATAATGCTACCCAATAGTTTTCCTGCATTAGCCGTAAGACAGTAAATTCATAGATTGAGGAACTAAATTATTTCTATGAATAGGATCTGGTTTTATATCTCTGCATTTTCACAATGTCCTTGGCAGAAAAATTGTAAACTGTGTACTCTAGGGCTATGATTGACTGTATTCGCTAGAATATAATCCAATCAAATTGCTGTATTTACAAACTTCTGGTATATGAAATGGCTATTGCAGTTAGGGTAATCAAAGCAGTATGTAATAACTTGACATTATGAAGATGAGGACTGACATGTGAAATAGATGGAAACTGAGGCCCGGTGTCCTATAGGCTGTTCATTTAAAAGGATCACATTTTCAACAAGACACCTAGATATATTTAGTTATATTGAAGAATTAACCTTCAATTGCATCTACACATACCTAATATGTATATCAATAACATATTACAGAACTTCCATTTAAAGTGATACTACGTCTCAGAATGAACATAAAATTTAATTCTCAAGAATGGTCAATATGAGTATATATTCATCAGTGAACTTACCTGGTGTCATAAAGTTATAACAGAATCCTTGTTAAATCTAGAAAATTGGAAAAATCATAAAACCAAGTAATTATTGAAAAAGGCTTAATCATACTATTGATAGTTAATTGCATATTTTACTAAGTTTTTTGAATTTATCGGATTATATAAGAATACTGTTATGTTATTTATGACACCAGGCATAACTACTGATGAATATATGCTCTTATTGGTCAAGTTTAAAATTTTTAAATTTTATGTTTATTCTTAGACGTAGTATCCCTTTAAGGGATTCAGAAAGTTTTTTTGTATATAAACACAGGACACTTTTTCTAGAAAAATTGGAAGAATAGACGACAACCATTAATCGAAATAAGGCCAAAATAGTCAGAAAGCCTTTCCAATCAGCAACATGTACCTATATAAGGTAATGTATTTCTCAAGAAATCATAGAGTCCTCAAAATAATAAAATTCAATATAAGATAATATAATTAGTATATAGAATAGTATTTATTGACAAAATAATTCTAGTTTATAAAATCAAATGTATTATTCATAATGTGTCTTTTGATTGACATCTTTAGAGTGTCCACAATGTTAGTTCATTCATTATTCAATATAATTCAGTCAGTTAGTCTGTATATTTGACAGTAATTCTTTCAATTGATGAGACATCAGTTTTTCACTGTTTTTTAAGTAATATGAAACTGATTAATGATTTGACTATGAAATAACTAATATTAAGATCAGGCAACCAATACCAAATGCAGACATCAGTTCTGGCAGTAAATGGGAGCAATGGTGGCTCAGTGAGTTAGACTCTTGCTCACTAACCCAAAGGTTCGAATTCCAATCCCGGCATAGATCGAGATGATACTTTCAGATTTTTCAACCAGGTCTCCTCCGATCAGTGATGTAGTTAAGAGGAGCTGACATGGAAAAAGCGTTCAGTCGTTCAGATGAGACAATAAACCAAGGCTCTGTGTGCTACATCTACATAGAGATCCTCGACAGTTGGAAATCAGAAAACTGGGACATAAAAACTCCATTCATTTCATTTTATAGATTTGTCATACAAATTTAATGCCTTATTGATAATTTCCTTAATTCATAAACTAGAATTTTTATGCCTTAAAAACTATCTAATATCTTACTGATATCGGGATCCACTGTGGCAGGTTAATACATGCTAACCCTTTTGGAACACTTGATGTATATCTTTGATTGGGTTTGTCAACTTGGCATCTCTTTGGGGAGTTCACATAATCATAATAACTTGACTATACATATATTTTTTGGGAAAATCAAAAGGAAAATATTTTCAAAGAAAGTATCTGTGTACTTTGTAGGAATTTTACTATGTAGCCTAACTATCTGTATGGTTTGGGCTATGCAGCGAAGGAATTGGCAACCGACGAACAACTGTAAGTTCAGAATGAACATTCTCAACTACCTGTAAATACAAACAGTACTAGTTTATCACTATACTGTAGTTATGATAACTGTAGTTTTAGAGTTCAGTTAGTAATAAAAAATAATCTTTATCTAATCTGCCTATCATTTCATGTCTTTCAAGTTAGGAAAGTGATAGAAATATTTCGAGTTGTTTATATTTTTTGAAACAGATGGTAGAGTGTAGATATGGTCTACCAGTGAGTTCAGTTTATCTTAGTTAATTTACATAGTGATAGAAATACATTTATCTTAACCACCAGTTATAAATACCACTGTTGATAAACGACACACCTTGAGCATGAAGGCATTCGTATGATCCAAAATTCAAAGCAGTGGTCCAACAATTATGTATGTTAAAGAAAATCGCACTAAAAAAGGTACAATCGAAAGGATTTTATTGTTCAGAAACACCTAATACCATTCTTTGATTGGGTATATCAACTTAATTAAACAATGGTTCCATCAATATGGATTAATAGGAATGTATGGATTAGTGGAAATGCTGCTATCTTCATGACACCTTATACCAATTTACAACTGGGTTTTTCAATGTGATAAGAGAGTGGTCCCTACCATCTTTGCAAGAGTTGTGCCAACTAATTGCTACATTAATTTAATCAATGTAAGACTGTAATGCAAAAACGACTTCCTGGCATTCTATTGTAACAAATGATTTATAAGATGAGGTTATAGGGGCTGTATTGGAAAACTAAAATCAGTAAACAGAGACCCTGTGTGCTATAGGCTGTGCACATTAAAGATCTCATGTAGGAATGATATAATAAAATATTGAGTAAATTCTACTGTCCTCTCAAAATTTTCCCTCATAGTGCACTGCATGGCTTTACCCATCCATATTAGTCATTTCAGGTTCAGAAAAAAGGACAATTAAGGAAAACATGAAAAGGGAGAGAACCATGTATACACCTGTTAGAATATTCTCAGCTTGAAAAACATTATTATATACCACCCAGAGTTAGTTATATATCTTAATCACAGTTTCAAATACTCCATTAAATAGAAGAAAAAACTGCAGGTGAGAGATAAATGATGCATGTTAAGCCAATCTTAACAAAATTTTGAACCTCAAGAACGTCAATAACATTAACATCAAATACTACAGAACATTAGTAATGTATATTACATGATGTCTGTTGTTTTTTTTATCAATCTGGTTATGTCATTGTGCTGTATCATGTAGACAGTAAACATAATCAACTGCCAATATATATATAGTTTCTGCATGAAAAGAAGCACATACAGACATGTTCAAGAAAATATTTCAATTCTGATACTGTTCAGTTGAAGAAATCAAAACTGTTTTTGCCTTACTTTAGGCATTTACAAATAGCTGCTAAGATCCTAACATCATATACTCTTTGTGTATTTATTCAGTCTAATTAAAAATCGTTTTTTTTATTATTAGTTATTTATTTTTAATATAGCCACTTCAATACAGGTCTAAGGACTGTCCTCTTAAACATTTATCTAAATTCCCTTTTGAACTAACCCTGCTTTAACCAATCAAATTTCTGCACTCTCCAGATTAGGTCATTTAGAGGAATACTTAAGAGGACAGTCTTTAGACCCTAACTGAAGGGGCTATATTAAAACTGATAAAAAACATAAGTAAACATTGTCGTCCAAGTCTTAAATATAAGTAAACATTTCAAATGTGACTTGTCATCCAAGTCTTAAATATAAGTAAACATTTCAAATGTTACTTGTCGTCCAAGTCTCAAATATAAGTAAACATTTCAAACGTGACTTGTCGTCCAAGTCTTAAATATAAGTAAACATTTCGAATGTGACTTGTCATCCAAGTCTTAAATATAAATAAAGATTTCCAATGTGACGTGTCGTCCAAGTCTTAAATATAAGTAAAGATTTCAAATGCGACTTGTCGTTCAAGTCTTAAATATAAGTAAACATTTAGAATGTGACTTGTCGTCCAAGTCTTATACATAAGTAAACTTTTTAAACGTGACTTGTCGTCCAAGTCTTAAATATAAGTAAACATTTCGAATGTGACATGGATGTAAAATGATAAATGTCTTCAAGTGGTTAAAATCTGGTATTACAATTGTGTTTTAAGAGTAAAAGAGTTCTAATCATTTTATTGCTTGCTTTTCTTATTCAAAGCAGTTTTATAGTTGCTAACATGTTTTAAGTATAAAATAATAAAGAGTGTTGTTATCAGATATATATTTTGTGTTTTAAAGATAATCTTGGTAAATTTGTATCATAAAATATTATCCTATATGTTGAAAATGTACAAAAAGTGCTTATCTAATAGAGTGCAGTGCTAGCGTCTGAGATATCTTGATGTTAAAATGTTTTGCTTATTTTATTGTAAATAATAAAGAAAACTTACTTATAAACATCTTTTGGTTCCTCTATAATTTTTAATATTCTCACTTTCCATGCTTCAAGTTCATCTTTTTCCATCTGAGATTCTACAGCTGCTAAAGCCTGTTCTGGTCGAATCTAAAACACATAAAGGGGATTAATTAAAAAAAATGGCAATTTTAATCATTTTCATTCATATTTCAGCTTATAAACATTTTTTTAAGCAAAACAGATACATCATTCTATTTCTATTTTCCAACTTCCAGAACAATGTCTACTTTGAGTTGGACTCATTGGGAAGCAAACAACATCTGATCAGAAATTGGGCATGGAGACTTAATTTTTTTCTGTAACCAGTTTCTTGAAAATGTCCTTATCATTTGATTTTCAGGCCAGTAATGTTGATTAGGAATAATTTCATGGGGCTTACCTGGAAAAAGTAGTTTGAAGCTAAACCTGGGCCAGAAATTCTTCTAGCAACAAAACCATCTCTAGCTGGTACACGTCCACGACTTTTTATAATAGTTTGAAACATGAAGGTGTCCCATAATCCTCTTCCAGTTCTTCGTAACAAACCAACTAATAATATCGAAAAAATTCAATTTCAAAATAGTGATAATAGCTTTAGTCAAAATCAAACTTTACCCAAAAAGGTTTTCCTTGTATGAAAATAATCACTTAACAGACGCCATTAGCCAATAACAGAACTTCCTTATTTCAGCAAAGGAAAGGTTTCACTTGAGTTCCCATATGAACAGTCCCAAAATTGTACAGATAAATCTAACTTATGGTTTGAAAGGGTAATATTATTGGTTTGAAATCTATGAAGTAACTAGACCACAAATGAAAGAATTTAAGAAAATGTCTTTAATGAACAGATGAGACATTTTGGGGGTTTGATTTTAGTCTTGAATATATGTAAATAGTCTTCAGAAGTACTAAAAATGTACGAAAATGGCATAATTCCTTCAATTGACAAGTCATCATTTTAACATTCAAATGCAGATAATTCTGGACACACATGGATTTGATGGCTCACATTTCGACTGTGAGCTGTGAACACTATTACTGATTAGCTCAGCTAAAAAGTTCCAGTTTCTGAGACTTAAGTAGGATTGGTCAAAAACCTGTCCCTTTAAATCTAAAAAAGTCCAAAGTACATATACTTACAAAATATAACGAAAAAAGCAGCTGTAGGACAGATGATAGCTCCTGTTATAAAGGCAGCTATAGGTTGTAAACAACCTTGTATAATTATATTCCATATTACAGCTTCACATACACAGAAAAACCGATTAACACCTTTCTCTCCTATTTCAGCATTTAATGAAAAATATTAAAAAAATCATATAAAATCGTTATCAAGGTATACAATTTACAGCAATTCAGTCTTTACTTCCTGGACTATTTATTTTGCTCCTAAAAGCCATAGAGTGAACAATGAGGAAAATCTTTAAAATACTCAGTCTGTAACAGAAGGGACCGTTATTGTTAATCTCAACAACTAAACCATTTTCCTGTATCTGCTCTCTCAATACAAGGGAAACTGGAGATCCAGTTTATACAACGCTAGCATTGAACCTCGGCTTCCCACAAAAAAAAAAAACAGAATTTTTGTTGCTTTTGTAAAATTGTTAGGGGAGACACTACTCTTCCACTACTAAGCATTGAGTAATCTTCAATTTTACATATATACTGCCAGCATCCTTTTCAATTTGTTTTCCAATAAGTTTCATCGGGGATATAATAAAATATAATCTTACCAGGACAATCAATATCATATACCAATATAAATCCTAGATGAGCAATTAAAGTTACAACTGGAACCCTATAATGTCAATATTTAAAAAAGAAGTCAATTGCATAATATCATTTTCAATCATAGTTTTTGTATCAAGTCAGTGATGCACAAAGGGTAAACATTTTAATTGAACTGGACATACTTTTGCTTGTGATCAGTCTAAAGAGATAAACTAGCAAAACCCTTCAGTGTGCAATGATGGAAAGTTTGTTTGCACAGCAGTCTTTTCTGAATTAAACTAGGAGTGGACAGTCTGACCCTCTGAATATTTATGTATCCTACTTTCCTGTCACAAATGTGGCTTACAAAGAGAGACTAGACGACCAGTCAGAGTAAAATGAGGGAAATTCTGCCAGGCCAGTATTGACCCTCTCTTCTTTGATTTCCAACTAGAACGTGAATTATCAAATGGGGCAATAATATGGAAAAATATAGCAAACTTACCATACAGGACAAGTTAGAGCTAATGTTATAGATAATAATGATGATACTAAAGCCACTGTAGGGAAGACTAGAACAATTAATAAACTACCTAAACTCCCTTTAATAACATAGTTCCAGAATCTATTAATATGACGAGACAGACTCTTTCCTAAAAACCCTGAAAAATAGAATCAGAACAATATTTTGATCTTGGTTCATTAAGACAGTTTGGAGCTTTGTATATTCAAATTAATGCAGGACACGAGACTGCTTTATGAGAATAATGCACGGCCTTTAGCACAGAGTATATTCAAAACTACATGCTTTTTACATGTCAGCCCCTCTGACCTGCATCACCAATCGAAATATCCAAGAAATTATCTCAAAACATGCCGTTTTTGAACTCTGTACAATCTGGTTAGCATGATGGCATCTAACTCACTGAGCCACAGCAGCTCTGAACATGATGAATTGTTTGAAGATATAATTCCAAACTAACCTGTATCAGGAGCTTCTTCAAAATCTTTCCGTGATTTTCTGACATGTTGCCATAGTAACTGTAACCTTGACGTTAATGTTTGTGTACGTGACGACTCACAAGGATGAAGAGCACCCTACAAAAAGATTTGATCAAACTTTCAGAAAACTGAACCCCAGAAGTCTAGACTATTGCAAAACAAGTGCATCATGAAATATGACAGCATCAAATCAATGCCAAGGTCACAAGAGATCTAACTGGTTTCTTTCAGGGCAGAAGTTTAGATGGGCTGGCCATTACTTGTTCAATCATTGTCAAGATATAGATTGCCATTGACTGAACCATTTACAAAATTTTGAAATCCAAAACATACAGAAATTACATTTTATTTCAAATAAAACTATGTTTAAGATAAATAAAGCCTAAATTCAACTTACAGTGAATTGACTAAGTTGATAATCAGGGGTAAACGATTTGGGTAAAAATAAAGCACGAAGGCTAATAGGACTACACCATGGTATAACAATCTACAAGATAAATATACATGTATCATTCATAATTATTCACAATTTCAGTGAATTAAGCAATGCTTTTTTGGCATGTTTTTTTCTCTGAATCTTGGCTAATTCAATAGAGTTAATTCTTGTGCAATCTTTAAATTTGTGTCATTTATATTTTGACAGTACTGGATACTGATACAGACAATCTTAAAAATACATTCACATGAGGTTTGGCTGAGAATAGAAATAATTCTTGTAAAATATGTTTCAAAGGTTCTGTCTACTAGTAGGAACAATATACTTACTCCAAAGAAGAACATGGAATTCCACATCCATGTCCAGGTTCTCTGTAAATAGTTCCACCACCTCCAGAATGGATGCCTAGTTGTTGTTCTACGTTCTACATATTTCTCTAAATCATATCTAGGCACCTGTTGGGATGGAAAGACATAATTTGTCTGTCTTTATGACAAAATAGAAAAATTACGTTAACATGCCCTCAAACCATAGAGATTACTAGTTGCACCCTAGAAGCTTTTGTAGTATCCTTGGTCTCTATTGCGAGCAAATCTACGCTCGTTACACCCAACACTGGGGTATCAACAAATAATGGTACAGTGGAGTGACTCTATGCTCGACAGATAAGACCTAGCCAAACAGTACCAATCTTCAAGACAAATTCGTACAAAACTATCTAAGCATAAAAATAAAAGCTATATTCGCTCCAGGGGGAGTCACTTAATTAGACACGTCTAGATCCAGAGTATATTTACACTGATCTTGCTATCCATAGAAGAACTAATGTATTAAAGTGTGCATTGCCGTATTAAAAGGTCAAATGACATCATAGTGCCACAATGTGAAGACGAAAGCAACGAATAACCAGACACTCAACCAGAAGTTAGAAATATAAACAATGCTACAAAGGACGGATTGGATTTGGAATATGAACTGCTGGTTACACTTCATAGAAAATTCAACTGGAAAAATATTTTGCTGATGCGAAGTGGCTGCTCTAGTTCAAAACGCAACTCTCACCTCTTTTCTAATGACAATATCTTTCTCAGCAGCAGAACTAATAGATGTCTCTTTAAATACAGTAGGTATAACTACAGATTCTCCTCTATAATATCGTTTTATAATATAATTACTAGGAAACCATATCTTAGAATTAAACGTATATTGTCTATTAGGTTGTTTAACTTTACTTAATTCTTTCTTTAATACACTCTCTCTCTGAAAAATCATAAAATAATCATAACACATGGAGCTATACAACAAAAATGTGTCCATCTTGAGTCAAGCTTTTAATTCAAGCTCACAAAGGTAGCAAACTTTTGTTCCATAAATGCCTGAAGTTGCATTCACATCTGTATTTCTGATAACTCAAGAATAACTTAACCAAGTATTCAATAGCCAATTAAGAATTGTATTATGATGCAGGGAATAATAGAAGTTGTCACTCAAGACATTAATACGTCTGCTGTATAGTTAATTTGCCGCCATTTTGATACAGTGTCATGCACTTCACTTTTGGATATGAATAATGTATGTGTTTCTTCTTACTGTTAAGTTGCAAATAACAGACAACAGGACCAAGGTCTAAAATATTGATATGCCATTCAGATTCTTGTTTTCATTTAAGGGGAACAAACTAAGCATTACCTCTTTAATAAAGTTGATATCTCGTTTAATGAAATATACAGCTTGTTGTAAATCCTGTTCTTCACATAAACTAGTAGCTTCTTCATGTGCAGACCATAGATTCTGAGTTATAAATTCCTCCTAAAAATTACCAGAAAATCAAACTTAACAATATCATTTTACAGAAGAAAGAACAGTGCCCTGTTTCACACAAAATCATATGATTGTAGCTACCATGGAATTTCTTGTGAAACAGTGCCCAGGACATAATTTTATTGACAAGAAACAGTATAAAATACTAGCTGTTGATATAAGCAAGCAATACAAAACAATATTAGATATGTGACTAATATATAGATTTTTGACGGTCTTTAGTAATCTCAGACTCTACATCAGAGATTATCAATGCTGGTAAGAAATTTCATAGATTGTGATAACAATTATTTTACAAATATCTTCTTCAGAATAATTCGTCAACACCAAGATATAAGACAAAAGATTTACTTCAAAACAGTCCAACTGTTCATTCATCCAAGCTCTAATCCGTGACTTAACAGGGTACTGTTTCTTCAGATGTTTAATCAACTACAAAACAATAAAAGAAAAGTTTTGTTCATTTAGTATACTTATTGCAAACCAATAACAAAATTGTTCCCAAAGCTTTTCAACCTATTAGTTCAAAGACCGAAGTAGTCCTATTGTTTTCTTGGTACATTATAATACAAAAATGCCACTAATTTAGACTTACTTGTTCTTTATGTTTCTGCATATTACTCTGTAGATTTTCTACTGCTTTACGTAAAGCTATGACAGTTTGAGCTTGAGCTATTAACAATTCACCTAAAAGATGGATATAAATTAATAATAATTAGATTGAAGAAATATCTATAGTTTACAATATTTCAAACAAATAACGAAGAAGGCTAATTATCTACCATTTAAATCGGTTTCAAGGTTCTAATATCAGCTGATGACTAAAAGTCTGGTGATTTTGAAGAATTTTTGATGAATTTATCATTATTTCATTACCCAGTGGAAAGTATCAATTCTAATAGTATTGACAAGCTTGATTTGAAATACAAATCTGGATTTTTTTGTTTCTTAATTTTCTTTGGGTGACCCCACTTGCTATTCATGATCTGATAAAATTATTGTGCAACTTCTGTTCTGGGTTTATATTGGTTTATATTCAACCAATCAAATGCTCTGTTTAATAAAAAAGATTTTCTTTCTTTGTCTAACAATTTGAATATAACATACCTATACCAGGTTGTAGATTATCTAATTCAGCATTATTTAATATAGCTTGATATACTCTTCTTAAATACTCTTTCATTACAGATTCATTCATTTTCTAAAAGAATTAATCAAAGATAAACTACCTATAAAAATGTTCCATTTTATCATTCAACTTCTAATATTTATACAGAATTAATTTTGAAATTGGATAGGGTGAAGTGAACAAACCCTATATAGCACTTTGAAAATATTGAATATTCATTAAACTAAAAATCCTACCTCATTCATTGCTTCAGCAGACAAATTTTTATCTAAAAAGATGAATTATTTTAATAATATAAATTAAGATAAAGATTCCACCTTTGAAAAATAAATCTTACAAAATTAAAGTTTGTAATAGGGATTGAAGGCCAACATTGGGTCAACTTTCGAAAGCACTGACTGAGAATTCTGAATTTTTCTGAACACGAGGAAAATTGGAACCCATGACATCTAATGACCTTAAAAGTGACAAACCAACTTGCTACTGAGTATGTTTGTGATAAATGTGAAAACTTACAAGAAAATTTGAAAATTGATCAAGGGCTATGATCTTTGATTATAATGTATCACAAAGTAATCGTAAATAATAATTGATTTTGAAGTATAAACACAATGTCTTTGATAAAACTAACATATATTTTAAGATATTACATACCTTTAATTTCTCTCATACATTTTTGACGATACTGTATATGCCATCCCTTAGATTCTCTATCTAATATATTACTTAATATTGGTAAACAATTGTTGATCAAATCTATAATATGAAAAATAATTTCAAATATACAATACCAGTTTTCTTAAAGATGAAACAAATCTAAAACAGTATGAGATGATTTTCATTAAAAAAAGTTTCAATCCCCTGGGGGCGTGGGACTAGGGTGTCAGGGATGTGGTCAACTGGTGTAGAAGAAGAATTTATTTTAAATTGAGAGAGCACCTCAGATCATCACATGCTGAAAATGTGGATGAAACAAATTTTTGGGGGTGTGAAAGGTCCAGGTGATTGCTCCAGGTTGAAAAAGGTTGGGAACCACTGTGCTAAATCTTCAAATACGTTTGTCACATGCCTTTAATCCTTATTTCACAAAATTTTAATTCAAAAAACTGAATATTGAATTGTTTTAAGTCACTTATCAATCAGATAACAGAACCAATATTAATCGTAAGTTATATTTTTGTGAAGACTAAGATTCTAGAATATTATGAAATAAAATGAATTACCTTTATTAAACAATCTTAGATCTATTTCTAAACCTTTAGGTGTTTGATAACGATAGGGAACTTGTGGTGGTTGACCATCTACAACCTACAAATTATTTTAAATAGCACATTCAACACATGTACATACAAATATTTAGTACAAATCATACTTTAACAGGCATATCAAAGTCCATTTTTCTTCTAATGTCCTTCAACAATTTCTAAGTTAACTATTAGATTTCACTATATTTTGATCATAGGAAATAACTCAGGGTTTCTGATATCAAAAGCAAGGTTTGAAAAAGGATTACCTTATATCTATCTGTACGTAATAATCTACTCTGTTCTTTAACATAATCACAATAATTACTTAACTCTTGTTTATGGTTAGGCTGAAATATTATTTAGAATGAAATAAAAGCCAATATTGGAATCATCTTCAAGGAAAAAAAGTTCTGATGGCACAGCCAATATTTCTGACACTTGGTACAGTGTCCGCCTTCAACCTATATGAACAATTTAACTTGACAATTGTTTGATTTATATTACAAGTTTCTATAAGGGGCATTCCATTTTCACGTATGATTCCTGAAGTTCTTGTAATTTCCCAAACAAATTTTTGTTCACAATCCAAAACATTTCAGAGTCAAAAGTCATATAAATTCAGACCTTATTCAGATATTTCAATATGTAAATAAAAAAAAGAAATTTTAAGACTTACTCTGACTGTTAATTCTGCTACTAAATACTGCATATGTTCTTCTCTAACTTTAAAACTTAAATCACCAGAAGTAGTAGAGGGCATACCAAATAATACATCTATTATAAATTAAAAAAATAAAAATTTTAAGGACAGTGGCATTTGTTTACCCTATCAAGATTTTCAATATTAAAGCTACAGAAAAGAAGGTTTCAGACTAAGGCTGGTTGATGACAAGATTTGGAAGATTAAAAATCTATTATGTTAGCAGTTGTATTTGAAGTTTCCAGGTTTAGACACAGAACTTTAAAGTTTCATACAAGTATAGATACAAAAATTTCTGGAAATTTTGTTGACTCTTACCTAATAATTTCCATATTCCTTGTGTCCAACCTTTAAATGATTGACTTAGAGAGAAGAAATGAGATTGAAATCTGTTTCTAGCTGTTATTATTAACAGTCTCAGAGACAATGCAGAGTCCTGAAAAAAAGGTAAATTTATTTATTTTACAAATTTTGGAAATTCGTTCGCATTTAAAAGACATCTTATTGCGAAAATGTTTGAAATTTGTCTTTTTTCACCAAAATGCATCTTTTCATTTTTCTTGTTACAAATAGTTTAAACCCTTTTCAGATCTAATTACGTTTATCATATGAAGAGATAACTATTAGATCATACATTTAACAAGTAGGCCTAAGACTAACTTGATGTTGGAGTGTCTCTGGATGCCCTAGGAGAAACATTTTTGGGTCATATGAACTTACATCTAAAAGAGTATCATGTGCTCTAACTGTGCCTTTCTGTAATAGTTGTGTTAGTCTCCATTTATGAGTTTGACCAGGAAAATGAATACTGTCTACTTCAAATTCACTGTAAAATAAATAAATAGTATTTCATCTCTCTGTGATAGAAAATGTTAAAATCTAAAATGCTAGTCCTAAAAAAGATGAGTGAATAATGATTGAATTTGATAAAATTATGCTGCATATTGTCCACATAAGCTTATATCATTTTAGTAAAAGAATCTAATCGTTTAATCTTTTGAGAGACAGAACATTTGATTGGTTGAATAATGCACAACCTAGGACATAAGGTGTATAACAACTTTTTCAGATCAAGGATGACAAGTGGGATCCCCATCAGAAACATCCCAATTTGCATGTTACTCATTTTGAAAGTTCAGGAATTATCTAGAAAAGGGAGTCAATGCACAATCATGTTTCATTGCAGATGTATAAAATAAACGTACCCATGATTCCATACACTATCTAACTGTTTATCACTTAATCTCTTTATACCACCAAACTGGTTTAATGCTACTTCATCTAGCTCATCAAATGTTGGAGCTATAAATAACTGTTCAAACAAACTCTTTTTCTGAGACTGCAACAAAAAGAACGAAATTAGACATAGAAGTAAAAATCTATTGAAATAATACTCTTAAAATGTTCGAATATAATTATTTAACAACAGAATCCCTCTATATGATGATAAATTCATAAAACTGAAAAACAATCAAAACAATTTTACCTAACCTTATAAAATTCTGGTTCATCAGGGTTATCAGGTCCATGGTTTAATTCTGTAAGTGAGGGTGGTAAGTGAATAGGAAATGTTCTCCAATGAAATAACAACTGTTCACCAAGCTATAAAAAAATAACAAACATTTTTCTTATGATTTGTTATCAAAACTGTTGATCTAAATTAAGTACATTTAAATGTTTCCTTCCAAATTTTTTCTTCAACATTACTTAACTGTTGTAGAAAAATTGTCATGCTATAAATATTCCACCACTTGAGCAATTATGCAAGAGTCATGATGTGGCACTGTGTCATACCTTGAAAAACAATTAAAAAGGAGTTTTACATGCTACTCATCTGATTCTGATAGAATTTGGGTGACTTACTCTATAGAAAATTAAATTTATGTCTGCTTATCAATTGGTTGTAACAAGCACTATCACCAATCAAGGCTCAATAACTTTTATATTTCATCTAGACAATATGACTTACTTGTTTAATTGAGTCCATGACCTCAGCCATTTCTGGACTAACTTTAGAAGTATCATAGTTAAAATACAACGGCTCTTTCTGAAATAAAATCATACAAAAATGAAGAAATTCTCTATATTTGTTAAGTTTGTCATTGAAAATGAAATAAACTAACTATGTTGGTGAGAAGCAGCTTGTGAGCTGACAATGACAATAAATTTATGTTCTAACAAAAACATATAATTAAGTACCGGTAGCGGTAACCATAGACTGTTACTAAGTGTTACGATATTGACAAAGCTTATATCTCTTTCATAAAATTTTCTTACTTCAGGATCTTTCGGTATTTCTGTTTCCTCCTCTTCCATATTTATCTACAAAAACATAACAAGAAAGTTAATTAAATGAATGACAACCAGTATTTAAGTGATTTACAAAAGAGAAAATTAATATAAGCTTATATGATCAACTTGGCATTTGATATCACAATGGTTCTAACTTGAATGTATGAAGATCCACAGGATGCAATTCCATAGATTCAATGCATGAAAATTATATCTTATTTTACAAGACCAGATATTACTGTGCCAGAGTGTTGGGTCAATGTAATTTCAAAACTTGTAGGCATGGATCAACTCTCCTCTGTAGCCTAGCCTAAGCTAAGTTATGCCTGAGAGTCAGAGACAGTCTATGTTATGATTATTATACTTACTTATTTATGCTAATGTCTCAAAGAGAAAAAGGCCTTATGCATTTTGAGACATGTTTCCACGTCTTGAAAGTTTATATGCTTTAATAATCTACACAGAATTTAAACAATATGCATTCTTATTCTTTTGGATATTTTGCATATTTGCAGGATGTTTGGAATCAAGGAAGTTTAGTCCAGATTAATAAAATATAAAGATTAGCACGCAATAAAGTATGAATTGGCCTCTGAGCAAACGCACATTGCATTCAACAATGGTCATAATAGAATTCCATAGCTGATATCTGGCACAAATGTTTAGAATTCCAAGATTATTTCTGTCTTGCAAAACAAGGAAGACATTTCTCGCTGGTACCGAGATGTCACGAGATAATTCGAGATCGGTAAAATTCATAGGCATTCGTCAAAATTGAAAGTTTATCCATCTATAATGTCATATTTTGAACCTTTTAACAAATCAAATTAGTGTTTCCCCAACATGCAGTATTTAATAAGTCAGGTACATTATATTAATCGCAAGACGATTTTTGATGAACATTAATCTAGACCACGGCGAAGTTAATTGTAGTCTGAAGTATTACTCTTCCATTTTAGAGGTAAATTTCGACATCCCCAGGGGAGTAGTCCGAACAACGATCAGTGAGTCCGAAACATAGATTATATCCTAAGGTCAGAAATATCTATCTCAGGAATTTAAAGAGCAGCGATAAGCAGCGTCTATCAGTATGATTCTGGTGGATATTAATACAAAATGAAATAAACTTAACACTTGTAACACTTAATGATTTTTTAGTGTCAAATTAAGCAAACTATTTGATTAATTGGTGTTTCTTATGAATTATCATGTATTCTTCATCATATCATTATTTTCTTATTGCATATAATTAAGAGTTTTAACCAGTCATAAATGTCCATGCAAGTACAATCTGGATAAACAAAGAAGACTTTCTTGAGCGGTCACTCAGTGGAATTTTGCTGGTAATTCTCTTCAAATTCAGCTAATTATGAATTAATTATGGACATGTGAGACAAACTCGTGTTTTTCCAAGTCATTAGAACACCTCTACTTTCTATTCATAGAAGTATTAGCATTTCCATGTCCATTTATGAAAATAAGGGAATCCATCTTTAATAAGGGACATATAATGAAATGATTTGAATGGAGTTTTACGTCCTACTTTTCTGCACCATGTGGGCTAATGAAGACGGGCAACGCCATGCAGGGTGCATGGAGAGGGAAATTTTGCCAGGACAGTGGCATTAGCCTTCTCTTTTTCGATTTCCAACTGTCGATGGATCTTAAAGGTGCACAGCCTGTAGCACACGGGGCCTTGGTTTATTATCCCATCCGAACGACTAGATGCTTTTTCCATGTCAGGGGGAAACCGGGTTGAAAAATCCGAAGGTATTATCTCGACCTATGCCGGGATTGAACCCTGGACCTTCAGGTTAGTGAGCAAGCGTCTAACTCACTGAGTCACCGTGGCTCCAAGGGACATATAATGATTTTCTATTCCTTCAAGAATATAATCACATAGAAAAAAACGCGTCCAGCCCATCGGATTGGACAATAAATTTATATGCTAAGTAAAACTATCTCGACAGTTGAAAATTCAAAAAGAGTAAGCAAATGCTATTGTGCTGTCAAAATTTCACCCAGTGTCCACTGTACATGCACGTTGCGCGTCTTAATTTATCAAAAAAGTAGTCCGTAAAATTCCAATTTATTTCATTCAAGAATTATAAGTAACATTCTGCAATCTTAAGTGATAGATTAGTAGGTTTCATTTTTCTCAATTTAGAGAAATGTTTTGTTTGTTGGAACATTATGCCTACAGTAACTGTTATATCACATCTTTCTCAGGTTAGAACTTGCCAAGAATATATTTATCTTTTAAAAGTACACTGTTAACTAAATTGATAACGCACACAGAACGTCGCGCTTTGATAGGTGCATAATAATCAAATAACATATTGCACGTTTGTGCATCTTATGTATAAAAAGTCTTTGTGTATCTGTTTACAAACATAAAATACAGTAGTAGGCCTACATGTATATTCGATTTATCCGAAAAGAAGGATTTTAAAGGTGACATCCCAGGTAGAAAGCGGTATTTATTACAATATTATAAACTTGGGGTTTCCCAGCTAGAGAATAACAAATTATTGCATCGCATTATTCGGCGCAATATGAATATATCTTGAACGAAATTATGAAACATCGCAATTCGTGACTTGTAAAGAAAGCATTCATGAATTACTAATAGCCTTTATAATATCATTTATTAATCCACCTGGCATGCCTTTTTAAAGAAAAGGAAAAAAAGAAATTACGCTTTTGTGCCCATTTTGCGCACATATAAAATATATCTGCAAACTGCAGTTTTTTCTGGTGTCAATGGATATTAAGTTGCATCTTTAACCCTCCCTTCTCATTCACCCCGTCCCCTTAATCTGTCCTACTCTGATACGAAATGAATCAAGATGCAGCTTTAATGGACAAACAGAAAGCACTCAAGTTGGTGATATTAAAGCCATCTGGGCGAGGACCTTGAAACGGGACTGATCAAATTACATGTCAGAAACTACAGTGTACTTTATATTCAAGTCTTCACGGCGGGAGTGAACAACCAACGCTGCACTGTGTGAATTCTATAACCTAGAAATTGGAAGAAAACATATTTTTCACTCTAATGCACTACGTCGCTCATTCACATATCTAGAGGATTTATTATGAACGCTCTATATTTGAACTCAAGGTAATGTATTTTATTTAACTTATTCTTTAAAAAAAGCTTGTTTACGAACTGTAATTTGGATATTGTACCTTCACGAATACACAAATGTATCAAATTACTTCATTATCACCTCTCAGAACATTTTGAAATAAAAACCTTTATCTTTAAATAGCACGTTAAGCGTAGACTTACCGGCTATCATAAACGTCAAAAGTGGCTCATGAAAAGGTTGGTGATGGCCGGAGGTTTACTTTTACAAACAGACAAACTGGACAAACACGCAACTGAGAAGGAAATTTATTTCTTAATTTCAAATATCTGGTGATACATCCATATTTTAAATCAGAAAATATAAAACTATGTGTCTTGTCGAAAAGTCATTAACAATTTGCTATCTGTACCGATTTGCAAGTTTGCAATACTATCTCAACCGAAAAACTTAGTCTTTAGAACTGAACATTACTTCTTATTGCTCGTATTTAAAAAAAATGCCAAGGAATAAATTTACTTCAGTTGGCCTACACCAACACGAACATTACATTTGAAATAGACTTTAACGATTTAGAAACAATCATAATAGTTTTGAAGTTCTGTAGCTGTGGGCTACAATAAATGTCTCGCTTCAAAAAAACATATATTTTGGTAAATTTATAGAAATGAATCTGTCACGTTTAAGAGCGACACAGCATAGATGTCGCTTTGTAAACATGCCAATATATAAACTAATAACAATGTAGGTAGACAATATTTGTTATTGTATATGTAACAATGAAATGATTAAATGGTGTCAAAGAAAGTTCAACGAATGTCTATACTGTGAGCACACTTGTTTCAATTGGAATTAAGATTCAAAATTTATATATATCAAGAATCCGCATACTTCATTTCTATTAAAAGTTTTAAGTAGTATTGTAGAAAAGTTAAAACCGAAGTTGAGCACACTCATTATTCACTCTGCAAACGTTTGGGACTTTAAATCATAGAAAAAAAACTAATGGTGGTTATATGATATAAGTGGATATAAATCATAGTAGAGCAAGATACTTAATGGTAATCATACAAAATGTTGCTCAATAAGATACGATACATATTGCGGAAAACGATACCTATTGCGGTTAAAGATATATTACTGCAAAAAGACACATCGCGGTTAAACGATATATATTACTGAAAAACGATACATATTGAGGTTAACCGATATATATTACTAAAAACGATACATATTGAGGTTAAAAGAAATATATTACCAAAAAAACGATACATATTGAGGTTAAACGATACATATTGAGGAAAAACAATACATAATGAGGAAAACGATATATATTACTAAAAACGATACATATTGAGGTTAAACGATATATATTATTAAAACGATATATATTATTAAAACGATACATATTGAGGTTAAACGATATATATTATTAAAACGATACATATTGAGGTTAAAAGAAATATATTACTAAAAAAACGATACATATTGAGGTTAAAAGAAATATATTACTAAAAAAACGATACATATTGAGGTTAAACGATATATATTATTAAAACGATATATATTATTAAAACGATACATATTGAGGTTAAACGATATATATTATTAAAACGATATATATTGAGGTTAAACGATATATATTACTTAAAACGATATATATTGAGGTTAAACGATATATATTATTAAAACGATATATATTGAGGTTAAACGATATATATTATTAAAACGATATATATTGAGGTTAAACGATAAATATTATTAAAACGATATATATTGAGGAAAAACAATACATTTAGAGGAAAAACGATATATATTGAGGAAAAACGATACATATTGAGGAAAAACGATACATAATATTGCGGAAAAATAGGCGGTTGAAATCTGGGAACAGATCTGATGAGATACTTTTAATAGTTAGTCGAGTTAGCCCAACGATTATCTTTAGACTTTCATAATGTGTGTTGTTTCTCTTGAGCTCTAGAACAGGTGTATCAAAAAATGTAAAACATGTATATGCGTGTGGCCTCTACTTCTATTTGAAGTATAGTTATGTAATGTTATGCTAAAATTGTAATTACGCTCTAAACATTTTGATATTTCTACATATTTTCTCATTGACTATACAAATTGCCTTTTTATCGATTTTTATGTTATATTTTTAAATCTGAAATATAGGTAGAGAAAAATCAAAACTTTTATGAATTCATTGTTTAATTTATGTTCTTTGTTATTATTCAAAAGACGAATTTAAAAACATATTGGTTATTTTGACCTGACCGTGCTAGTGTTGAAAAAAAAGTTTATTGAGTATTTATTGAACACGATTTTTAAATGTGATCAGAATTGATCAAATTTGAATCGGTATTAAATCCCAAGGTTTGCTTGTTCTTTATAGCCCATTCATACAATATATATAATACATAATCTTTTGTTGGGCATAATCATGGCGCAAAACCATAAAATAGATATCCATAAAAGACATGTCATGCACGGTCAATGCTACCTTTACATGTATATCATGTTTGATTATTCACACTGAGTATTGTCATTTCAGGATTGACTGTTAGAACGCAAGCACCAAAGTAGTATCTAGAGAACATCAAAATCACCAAGATGGGAGAAAGGCTTTACAGTTACCAAAGCGGAGAGAAACATACATTTACATGGGTAGATTATCTGCTGTTCGTGCTTATGCTACTAGTATCGGCTGTAATTGGAATCTTTTATGCCATTAAAGACAGAAAGAAAAATACAACCAAAGACTTTTTATTAGCTGGAGGAAATATGTCTCTGTTTCCCGTCGCTCTGTCTCTGTTGGCAAGTTTTATGTCAGCTATAACGTTATTAGGTACACCAGCAGAGATGTACAACTATACAACGATGTATTGGTGGATCGGGCTATCATATGTTTTTGCCATTTTTGCATCAGCTCATATCTATATACCTATCTTTTATCGTCTGAATATAACCAGCGCCTTCGAGGTAAGATATCCATTAGTATATTATGTTGTTTATGTTGTTTGTAATCCTAACAAAACAATGCTAGTAATCTACCTTATAATTTGTTTATCACTTACTGTAAAACTGTATGTCTTTCTATGTGTTAGTATTCTTAATACATAACGCACCGTGCGTTGATCTTTTTGACCTACATGATAGTTGTTTTAAAGGGACAGTAATCCCCCAAGAAATACAAAAAATCCATTTTAAGATAATTAAAGATGAACATGTTGCATCGGTCGTGAAAAGTAACTAAAAAGCAATCAACAAAATCAATATCAATATTTTGACTTCAGCGTTCACAAAGAGTGACACGATTTTGGTAGTAAAATTTTTAATTTTGTCTTTCAACTGCTGAAAACTTGTCTGACATTTTGCTAGACGCTAGATATTTTTAATGGTTAGAATTGAACAAATCTGTAACACGAGATTATCTTTTATTTTCAGTATTTAGAACAGAGATTCGGTCGAGTAGCTCGTATAACAGGAGCTTGTACTTATATTATTCAGATGGTAAGATAGACTTCTTTCATTCTTCTAGTATATCAAAGCCTTGATGTAAGAATCAATAAATGCAGCCCTAATAAGAGACCTAAAGTATTTACATTTCAATGTATTGGGGCACAACATACCAAAACTGATCCTGGTCAGATTAGATGTATATGTTCAGGCAAGGGTTGCAATTAAGTGAGCTCATTGAACCAATGTTACATTTCGCCTTTTTCTTTTAGTGGAAAATTGATCCTCTATCATACACATGTGATGGTTTTGATAACATTATGTTTTTATTAAGAATCAAATCATTTCATTGGCTGAAACCCCTTTTTCAGAACATGACAATATTAGCAAATGTTTCAGATTCTTTGGTCTAAAGTTCAGTTATATATAAATCGAAAAGTGGTTGAAATTTGCTATAATGCGAAATCTAAAAAGAATGGCTAATGTTGTCATGGAAAAAATATGCGCAATGTAGGGCATTACCCTTGTCATTAACTCAAGCTGGATCAGACATCGGACGTAAAACTCTATTTCATCTTATTTTCAGAGTATCTATATGGCTATAGTTTTGTATGCTCCATCATTAGCTCTAAACGCTGGTGAGTAGGTCCAATTGCCTTTTTTGTGGTTTCCTTCTTAAACGTTCATATTTTGCTCATATACCAAGAGTCCAATTTTGGAAGCTGACCCCCATTTGAAAAATTAGGTGCTCTGATGAGAATTGTATATCCGAAACGAGTTCTATTCAATTAAAAATGATACTGCAGCTCATATTGAGGTGTATCTTTCCCTTTTAACAGATTATAATTAGACGTCCGTGTACCTTTAATATTATGTACTTTACTTTTCCAGTAACTGGTGTAGATCTATGGGGATTGATTTGGTCTGTAGGATGTGTCTGTATATTTTACACCACCATTGTAAGTAGATTAGAAAGACAAGCTCTTAGAGTGATCCAATTTAACGGATAAAGTTTTCTAATTTGGTACTTGGGAAGATTTTTGAAAATAGGTGCAGTTGGTAACTATGGTAAATTATGAAAATTACAGTTTGGTGGGGTTGCTTAAATTGGTGCTGTTGTGGAAATTGCGCATGGTGTGATAATTTGGGTACAGTTTTGATAAGTTGGGTATAGAGCAGCTTTGTAATTTAAATGTCATCGGTCAATTTTCCAGGGTGGAATGAAAGCTGTATTGTGGACGGATTCATTTCAAACTGCTATGATGTTAGCTGGATTATTAGCTATATTGATACAAGGTAGCATTGAAGCTGGAGGATTTGCTGCGGCTTGGGATCTCAATATTGATCGTGATCGCGTCGAATTCTTAGAGTATGTATTAAATTTTCATATTGGTCAAGTGTGTGTCACCATAAACAAGACTCTTATATCATTTGCCGGTTCCCTTACTCATTTACCCTTTATAATATATGATAAAGAAACTTGGTATCCTCTAAAGCTCTCTTTCATGGTAAATTCTTCGGGATTATTTTAGTTTAGCTACAACAATTGAATGGTTAGCCCTAGGTATTGCTATAGCTTATATACATCATTTCAAGGATCAACTGATTGGACCAATAAAGACTTTATTAATTATGATTACATATATTATGATAGAAGGGAGATGACGAAGAAGTTTAAATTGAAACCGTTTATTGGAAGCTCATTCGTAATTTTAATAATTTTTAATAATTATTATTATTATTTTTTTTTTTGCAATATGTTTCTGTATTCCACACAAGTCATTATTATTTTTTCAGTTTTAGTGTTGATCCAGCAGTAAGACATAGTGTATGGTCATTAGCTATCGGTGGTATATTTACATGGACTTATGTTTATGGTACAAATCAAGCACAGATACAAAGAGCTATAACATGTCCTTCACTTAATAAAGCCCGAATGTAAGATATTTTGAACATTTTTAAACCTTTTCACTTAGGAAATGATATTCTATAGTTGGTTATCAGGCATCAGCTACCCAGAAAGTCTTGCTTTGCTGGGACATTTTGAACGCAGTGGCGGTGCCAGCCTCTCGAAAACTGGGGGTACAAATAGGAGACAGACTGACAAAAAGGGTCTGTCGAGGCTGAAATTCAAAATTCGGCATGGAGGCGTCGGCGTCATAGTCGCAAGCCTCTAATGGGGGCGTCTGGAAGGTTACTAACCAGAAAATTAAATTGGACAAAAATGTCATCCCTGTACTCCCACTATTTCAACTTATTTTCGTTAACACGTTACGATAAAGTTCTGAAACTCGAGAGAACCTTACTTGATTCTTGAGAGCAGAATCTTCGATCCCTTGGAGTTGACGAAGAATTTGCATTGGATTGGGCATATCCCTCCCACAGTAATAAATTATGTAATGGTCATTTCAGAGCTATATGGTTAAATTTACCTGGTTTATGGGTTGTACTATATCTTTCATGTTTGATTGGAACTGTATTATTTGCTTTCTACCGTAATTGTGACCCTTTAACCTTTAAACTCATTACAGCATCGGATCAGGTATGGCTTTTGTTGTTTTACTTCAAATCAGCATGGACTATCACCGTTTTTAATCTTTAGGCATGACCTCGACTAAAAGTATGATTGACACTGTCAAATCTTTCTCGATGGTAAAATAGAACCAAGGATTATTATCCCTACATTGCTGTCATGAATGGACATGTGTATCCAAGTTAGGATAGAACTTATGTATGATCGTGTATAAGGAAAAAACAAAGCGTTCGCCGCCACCGTAACCCTTCATATATAGATCAAAGACGACGATATTCCTATACATGTAGTTATATATCTATATTATGTAATTGATAATGGAAATTGTTGTATTGAAATATCATTCCTCATAATGATTCATAAATTACTCTTATTTTCTAGTTATTACCCCTGTTTGTTATGGATGTGCTGGGACATATAAAAGGTATTCCTGGCCTGTTTGTCGCCTGTATCTTCAGTGGTGCTTTAAGGTACTTCTTCGTCCTGTTTTTAAATACATGTATATCAAAATAGGGCCCAGAGTCTTATGAACGGAGGATTTTGGTTTGTTCTTTTCCATAAATTATGTTACTTAATTTGTCATAAATATCTCTCTGGGATGTTTACAGGGCACAGCTATTCCGATCACCAATACTTGGCATATCGAGTTGGAGACAATAGTTTGTGGAACTCTTTAAGTTTAATGCTGCTGTGTTCTTTTCGTTTTTCAGTACTATATCATCTGGATTAAACTCAATATCAGCTGTTATCCTTCAAGATATAGTTAAAACATATTGTGTCAAAGATATTTCAGAGGCGAAAGCCACTTGGATTACGAAAGGCATATGTAAGTTCACAGCCGATTGTCAAGAAGTACCTTCTGCATCTGCTTCTTTTTTATTTGCATGCCGTGGCAAAGTACCTGACTCCTACAGGTTGTTGAATTTGCAAAATTCTGAGATAATTTCTTATACATATGCTTCAATCTGTATGTTGAACTTGACAGTATTTCTTAATGGTGGCTGTCAACATAGTAATGAAAAAATATAATCTGTTCTACTGCTCTGGAAATATGTCTTCTTATTAACAACATATCTATTTATTACAGCATTTGGTTTTGGATTTCTGATGATAGGATTAACATATGTAGCTTCATTACTTGGTGGAGTTTTACAGGTTCGTCTTTCACAGTCATTACGATTTAAGCCAATGAAATAGCTAAAAATGCAAATAGGTTATTAGAAAGAAAGAAACTACGGTGGCTCACATACGACATTATTTCACTTTTTATTTTGAATTATAAACTTTAATTTTTACTTGGTGAAAATTAATTGATATCTAGGTTTTCACCACGTAAAAATTAAAGTTTTTAATTCAAAATAAAAAGTCAAAGGTGTCGTATGTGAGCCACCGTAGGAAACAAACCTCCTGAGGTAAATCTTTTCGGATTATCCTTTCCCAATTACAGAAGGGTCAACTGGCGTTGTCAGTAACGATACACGCCATGTTACACTAGGTTACCCTCGTACTCGGATTGTTTTTTCTAGATTAACAAGGCTAAGAAGTAATTAAGTACTTGTATCATAAATATGGTCTACTTATACGGAATTACACTAAACGTAAACGTAAAAGAGAACGTCTGCCAGGCAAATGTGTAGTTGCTGTGCTGACACAAACTTCGTAACAGCATATCTTTCTGAATTTTATACCCACCATTGTGATATGAATATTTTATTTTTCAGGCTGCTATGGGATTATATGGTATGATAGGTGGACCTATTATGGGTTTATTCACACTTGGCATGTTGTTTCCATGGGCAAATCAGAAGGTAATCGACTCAAGATCAAATTCAAATATAAAATAGAATTGAATGAAACAGAGTTTTATGTCACCTCTGATGAAAGTTGAGCTTCTGAAGACGTGCAACGACATACAGTGTTAAATTTTCTGGTATCAACCTTTTGGGTTATTTCGTCCAATCTGATGGCCTGCATCAGAAGTGCAAATCCAAAGGTATTACCTCGACCTATTGCACGTAGGTGTTGAAATCATTTTGCTTACCCTGATTATCTCATCAAAGCCATAGACAAATCAAAACAATCTACTTAAAATGAACTGAAGCACTTGAATTTTTTGTGATCTGTAATATTTCAGGGAGCTGTTACGGGATTGTTTACCGGTTTAATATTATTATTTTGGATTGGTATTGGATATCATGTACATAAACCACATGTGGCGACAAAATCCTTAATCAGTATTGTCGACTGTAATTGGAACTTAACAACCACTATGAGTCCAGTGACCCAGTCTTTAAACGACACATTACAACAAGTATACGCAACGTCAACAATGGCTTCCAATATGACTTCCAATGGCGCCGATGATGGGTATGTCTTATGCAGCGTTCACACTGAAAGCTATATATAAAACCGATTTCTGGAAAGCGATCCCCTCAATTCGCTTTTAGCGCATTCAATTTTGTAGCATCACACTACTCTCTGAAGCGATTCAATGCGATACGAAACATGTCACACTTGACAGCATTATAACCCGGCATAAACCAATGCGCCCTCAACAACCTATTCCTTAAACTGCACACAGAGCGTGTAGGTCGTTCATTCCAAGGTGGATGCGCCCGCGAATCAACATGATCAACAGATGCCAAACGAAAACAATTAATGGTAGAATTCAGCTTATACTGTTTTTAGTGATGGTGTTCTTTCGATGAATACGGCAGAATTGGCGTAGACTGATGTTGAGAATCCAACATATTATATATCATCGACATCGATTATTTGTGGAGATTACGTGAATCAATAGCAGATTTCCCCAATGCCGTAAAACAGAAGCGAGTGTGTAAATAGCTGCACATGCCTGAAATGTCTGTCGTGTTTAGCGTCGGTCACAGTCGGAAAGCACGATGGATAACCTGCTTCCGTTAAAGCGGATTGAAATCGGTTTGAAAAGGGGTTTTGTTAGAGCGGTTTTAGATCGGTCCGTTTCAGTGTGACGAGTCTATGTGTTCTAAGGCTTAAAAGCGCATTCACTCCGATTAAAAACGCTACTGTTAACACGACTTTACACTACCCTATCTATTGTCACGTGCATGCCGTAAGTTAAAGTGAGCAATTCGCGGTACATAAATTAGAAACATATGATCTTATACATGTATAGGGATTGGCATAAATGTTAATGGAATGAATTTGTGTAGGGTCATTCTTCTTTACAGCATAGTTTTGGACGGACTGTATTCCTTCTCGTGCCAGCTCAGGAAGCTTTAAAAGCAATTAGGACAGTTCGTCAGATCAGTCCTTGTGGACAGTTTGTTAATGCATTATTTCAATATCATTTCAGATACGTGTACATTTCTTGTCAGTTCTATGTGCTAACGTATTTATCTTTCTTTATTCAGTAACGTGCTAGACAGACTGTATTCCCTATCATACATGTGGTATACAGCTACAGCAGTAGCTACAACTGTTGGTGTTGGTCTCTTGGTCAGTTTTATCACAGGTAAGGGAATTATTTGGCTGAAGTAACGTAAATTATGTTTTTGAAGTCTGTTGCTTAATCTGGTAACACACGGATCAGGATTATACGTTTCATATTTCTCAGACACTTATTCGTTCATAATAGGAGGACAGCTTCTTTTTCAAATACTGGTTTGTCAATATTATTCATGTTTATATCGTTTACAGGTCACACCAAGCCCGAAACACTGAATCCGAAGCTTATTTGTCCAATTTTTGATATTATGTTTCCGTGTTTACCAGAAAAGATTTTAAAACCTCTTCGATTTGGAATTGACTACACTGGTCTTGTAAGTAAATATATTACAGTTTTGCGAGTAAATAACTTTCAATAATTGAGGAACGTGCACAAGGTTAAGCAGTTTTCAAACCAAGAAACCGGAAGAGGAAGTTTTCGCCTTGGTTGTACATAACGCATTGTGATTTATGCATGGAGGACAAAAGTAGCAGTTCTATTATCTCAGTTTTCCACCAGGAATACGTTGGTAGTGTCCTTGCCCTTGAATGTGTCATATTCTGGATTTTCTTTGACATCAGTGTCATTTCCCTACAGCAGATGGAACTACTATGTTTGCGACTAGGTTTTGGATCTTTGCACATAACATTTATATTTTTTTAGTACGAAAATGATAATGGAATAAAGGCCACTGAATTAAAGAATGTTTCTACAAAGGACCTTCAATCAGCTTATACTGAAGATGAATTGAAAACTAAGTTCCCTGAAACCGAAAGCTATCCCAGTGTTGTGGGCAATTCATCTACTACACCATTATGGACTGTTGAATCTACGCCTACAATAGCTACCAATGATTCGGGAATACAAGCCGATGACAAACAAGGTGAAAATGGCGACAAAGGAGGTGAAAAGCCGGAATTTTCAACATATCTTTAAATGACAAAAACATTTTTTAAAAACATAATTATTTTGTGTAAATAAGGCGTCTTACTAAAATACTTGTACAGATTTTGTAATATAATAAATTTACCAAAAGACAGTAAGCTAGATAAGTGGATTATTCAGTTGACACATTTTGATGAGTTGTAAAAATGAACATACTCTGCCTCACCAGATACACCCAATGTAAATTTCATAACCAAACAGACAAAATTCAAATTCAAATTAAAGACCAGGAGGCTCTCCCGAAAGCACTACCTGAAATCTTGATGTGCCATTCAATAAAGCGAGAAAAAAGACCTACACCATGATGCCGTTCAGATGGGTTCAAGACTACTTTATATTTTTCCAAGAGTGGATGTCTTTTAATCAATGCATTTATGTCAGCTCATCTACATCCACGTGGGGTAAGGATAACCATGAAGACAATGGGGGTAAGGGTAACCATAAAGACAGTGAAGTTAGGATAACCCTACTGACATCATTTAATTTATTGACATAATTGATAGTCAAAATTGTTTTCATTCATTTTACGAAGGCACATAATATTGAAAATCAAAATCATTAACAAAAGAATGATTTTGTTTAATTGTAGGAGAGCCAGGCGTCGAATTTTCACAAATTAACACAGATCACAAGCATGACAAGAGTTACCGCTATTTAAAGTCACATTTTTTGGCCTTTATTCTAGCCTTTAATAGTTATTTTGAAGGTTGGTGTAGACGATAACTGTCAAAACGACTAACAGAGACTGGCAGATGTTTCAGGCTAAATTTCATACGCCCACATGAAATGAGGGGCGTATATTGCCGTCACCCATTTCCGTCCGTTCGTCCGCCCACAATTGCTCGTAAACACTCTACAAGGCACAATTCTTGACTGATTTCGACGAAACTTGGTATGGTTGTTTGTAATCACCCAAGATGAACCCTATAGAAAATTAGAAAAATCGAAAAATATTTAGTATGAGTTATTGCCCTTGTTCTTGAAACGCTCGTAAACACTCTAGAAGGTGCAATTCATGACGGATATTGATGAAACTTGGTGTGAGTGTTCGTTATCACGCAAGGGTGAACCCTATTTAAAATCAGAAAGATCGAAAAATATTTAGTATGAGTTATTGCCCTTGTTCTTGAAAACGCGTTCAAATTTTAGCTTGTTAACACTCTAGAAGGGACATTTCTTGGCGGATTTTGGCGAAACTTGGTGTGAGTGTTCGTAATCACCCAAGGATGGACCCTATAGAAAATCAGAAGAATCTAAATATACTGGGTATGAGTTATTGCCCTTGTTCTTGAAAACGCGTTCAATTTTTAGCTTGTAAACACTCTAGAAGGCACAATTTTTGGCGGATTTTAACGAATTTTGACTTGAGTGTTTGTTATCACGCAAGGATAAAGCCTATAGAAAATCAGAAAAATCGAAAAATATTTAGTTATATTGAGTTATTGCCCTTGTTCTTGAAAAGTCGTTCAATTTGTGGCTCTAAAAACTCTACAAGGCATGATTCTTGTCGGATTTTGACAAAACATGGTATTATTATTCAGTACCGCGCTGAAAATTGAATATTTGTCTTCTAGAGTTTTCACGAGCTAAAGATTGAACACGTTTTCAAGAACAAGGTCAATAACTCATACTCAATATTATTCAGTATCGCCCTAAAGAGTTCAAAAGAAGTGTATGACTGAAGGTTGAATATTTCATACTGGTGATTGTTACTGTACTGCTAAATATTTTTATTCAAAATCAAAGCTGCCAGTGGGCGTATATTGCCTTGCCTGGCAAGCTATCTTTGAGAGTGTTATACAAGTTTGAATAGTAGCCTACTACAGTCACGTAACCTAATATCGTGCGAACCTAACTTTGTGCATCTCAGGACATGATAAATAATTACATGCAACATGTGTGACCTCCCGCAACCTCCGTATTTGTATGTTTTGATTCTCTACAACGTCAACCTATCGTTTCAAAGCAATGTCAAATTTATCATCTATTTCTAACACATACAAAATGGCGGATTTCAGTTATCAAATATCACAATTTTACCGGCCAAATTTCCTTATAATCCCCAGCTGTTCTTGAATTCCAAGTGTCGTCTGCTAGAATATATTCCGGTGAACAAAATCGCCCGACAAACTAGTGGATTCCATGCCAGCAGAAAAATTCTATGGAGCACAATGTAGGCCATATTCTCAATATGCTGTTTCAATGAATTTTAGCAATAAATTACTTATACTTATCCCATTTAAATAAAGGAGCACAATTTTATGGTAGGCCTATACTACTCCTTAGTTTTACTACACATTATTTATTATACGTTATTTAATGTGATCTCTACTCCTAAATGTCGCTAAAGGATTATCTCATTTAGTCACAATTTCTTTTTTCAAATCATTGTTCTTTTAAACAATTGTCATTATTCATAATGAATTGATACTAAAGATAAATACTAAGAAATGATAATTATAGGCCTACCACCTGGTATTCATACAACGTGTTTTTCTAGACTTATTTATAGATCAAACATTTTACACAAAAATAGGTGACGCATTTTATCGACGTTATCCAGGTAGTTACCCATGCATAACATGTGGGTCAAAGTGGGGGATCCATAAAGAAAATAGGAACAAACCAATTTTAATTATTTTATAAAATATCTGAAGAAACATTTAAGACATAACAAAACAATTTTCCGTTTTTTAATTTTGACGAAATTCGGTGTTGAAGCCTTATATGCACGAATATAGGTTACACCACTGTAATATTAATAGCCACAAGTAAAATATAAAATAGTGAACCACAACACAATAATCTGGGCATGTGAGAAATGATAATTACATTAAGGTGATCTATATAATTGTATAATATTAATGTCTATGAACGGTTGTTGGCATGAACGCCAAAGTTAGAGTTGCCACTTATCGTGAAACGGGCGATTCTCTATCGCTCTGGTCTGTGGTCTTGTCATAAATTTCATATGTAAACTGGATACCATTTTCTTCTTGAACATCAGAAGGGATATTAGATGGATTTTTAACACGTTGAAAGAGACTTTCTTCGATTGGTGGTAAAAAGGTGTCACATTCAAAATCAGCATCTACTTTGGTCAGATATACACGACAATCGTAGTCAGATTCCATGGCCTCTTTATAAACACTACTTCCCCCAATTATATGAACCGATTCAATTTGTTGTTTCATTTTGTCCGAATTGACCAAAGATAAAGCTTGTTGAAAATTCTTAACAATATATGTCCCATCTGGGCTTTCTGATAGCGTGTTACTTAAAATGATATTGACCCTATTTTTCAATGGTCTAAATTTGTCTGGTATTGACATCCATGTCTTTCTACCCATTATCACAGCATTCTGTTTGGATTCATCTACTGTATCAGATGTTATATGCCTAAACATCGCCATATCCTTTTTCAAACGCCATGGTATACTACCGTTAACGCCGATACCATTGTTTTTACAAGCAGCCACGACGATATTCAACCTCTTCGTACACATTTTGATACAGGAAGTAAAATTTCCCGCGCTCATCTTTGTTTGGATTCAGACCACAAACAAAGAATGCTGCAGTAAAGCTATTCAATGTAACGATGGCTGTGCTATTTTTAGATCTCCTTTTACACGAATAACATTTCGTCTAAATTCTAATCAAGAAAGATACGTGCACACTCTACGTATTTATGTGTTTTCGATCCATTATTTAGTCCCATTATCACGTATTCACGATTCATTTCTCCTGCATATTAATGATATATTCACCGGTTAATAAAAGTATTACCTCTATGGCGACCTCTTCCAAAGGGAGTTAACTACCAACTTCTCAAATGCAACAAACAGCAATAGTATTAACTAACTGACGACGCTATCAGATACGGCCCAACCAAATTTAATTAAGATCACACAATTGTAGCTATCCAAATCAAATATGCAAACTTACTTTTTTGAGTTTACATCCCAAGGTTCTGCACTCTGTAAGTTGATGAGACCATAGCAGCTGTAAACTGTGAGGCAAGAGGAAAATTTTCGTATTTATAATGGACAACCTATTTGCAATAAAGAAAAATCCAAAAAATAATGCATGATCACACTTTATTAAGAGATTATAACAAGCCACTATTCAACTAACAGTGATAAAATAATGTATTTTAAACAATTAGTAATTCCAAATATACACATTATTGATGATTCTTATAATAAGTTAAAGGGATTATAGAGAGGTTTTCTAAAAAAAAATTATGTGTATCGGGGACACTGGTAGCAACAATTCGTGCCATTCCAATTTTCAATCAGCAGTTATAATATATATATATATATATATTATATAATATTGAGAAAACCTCTTTACAATCCCTTTAAGTTGGACGGAGTTTTGATTTCAAAAAGGCAAATTTTAACACGATTGTTATAACAAATTCAAAGCTTCAGCAGTAATGGTAAAAATTAATCTCAAAAGTGTGTGGACGGATTTATATCACAACTACTGCATCTCAGCAAAATTTCTGAGATTTTGTTTTTTTCACAAATACAATAAATAAGACTAAAATTAAAAAATAAAGTTTGTGTCATCAAAGAGCAAAATATCCCCTTCTGATCTGAGCATTCTGTATTAATTAACTTTATTCCATATATAAATAAATTAAAAATGTACAATTTTGAATGACAATGATTTACAACTTGTTTTTGTATTATATTTTATTTCAAAACATCATCCAGATTATCCAAATTACAAATTCAATATGCAGTTATGGCCCCGCAATTATCAAAATATACATAAACAAAACCATAGAGGCTTATCATTAGGTATACAGACTAGAATATCTTGGCACAAATGCTTTCAGCAGTTTATATATTTAAATATCAGCGTTGAAAAGTTTAACATTAAGAGGACAGTCTTATTTCATATGATGGAATTTTTTGAATTTGAATTTTGAACATAACTCAAAATTATGAGAATTATGAGATGGGGTTTTAAAGATATTTTGCTATAAACAAAATAAAGGCCCATGAGAATTACAAACTATGCAAAAATGTGACAAAATTAAGCATTTTTTTTGTGATTGAGAAATTTAGACTAGTATTTTTAAAGCCTTGTATACCAAGATAATAGGACAATAACAACAACAACAATAAAAACATATAATATTAAAATGGTGGAATGTCATCAACATCAGCAGCTTGAGTCTGAGTAGTTTCCATGGGAACACAAGTCTCACTTACACAGGAGATATATGCTCTACCACAAAATCACTCTGAAAAAGAAATAAAAGTTTGGTAAATAATTTTGTCATCCAAAATAATACCATACCCTGCCAAATTTCATGCCACTTTGATTAAAATTCAGATCTAGATGTTTGTTTAGTATTGTTGTTGAGTTACTACACCACTCCCATCCATGATCTTACAACATTCTCCTTGAAATTGGGTTCATTCAAATTCTGGCCTAAAACTCTGCCAATTATTATAATTCAGCTTAAAATCAGAAACGCTCCCACACAGGTTGATGGGTTTATAGTGTGCTAGATCATGGATGGCAAGTGGAGTTACAAGAAAAAAAACAAAACAAATATCTATGGTAGATCTGAATTTTAAACTGATTGTTTCCATGCAATATTATGTGAAGTCGTGGAATTATCAAATATGGTTTCAAATTCAGCTCAATTTCAGCTTTCACCAAATCTCATCAGATTTGGCCACTTAATATAGATTTCTCTCTTATATACCTGTACACTAAGTCTAGGAATTAACTTCTCAGAGCTGAATTTGAAACCATATTTGTTGAACATGACCATTTAATGCACTGAAAAAACTCAGCAAAACGACATATCAATAGAAACAAGAATGAAAGTGTGAGCATCATCATAATAAATATCATTTCATTTCCTGATTGATATAAAGCATGCATTATTAGTAAGTTATTATTTCATAAGATTTCAGTTAAATTATAAGATCAAAAGAGCATTATATCTGTATTCTACTAATAAAACCCAATACCCTGTTTATAATTATAACATAAACCATGTACCATATATAATGAAGAAAGATTCTGGTCCAGTCTGCATTATATTTTAGATTTAAACATTAATTCCTTATCCCATTGATAGTGTTGTAAAATACATGTTATCATTTCACGGCAATAAGTGCCTTTTAAGTGAAAGTGCTTCATGTAAGGAAACAATTTTGTATGGTAGATATCAATGTAGCTTAATTCATTCAAAACGACAACCGATGGCTTCAAATTTAATCGAAATTATACTGCCAAAATTTAATCAAATATTCATAAATAGTAATAGTATAATTTAGATCTTAATGAATGCAATAAACTGGACCAAGACTAGAGAACAGAAAAGATAAAGAGATAGAAAGGATAACAGAAGTGTAGTTATGCAGTCATTACAGTGAGGTAGAAAATACATCAAGGTACCAAGTTTAGTAGTTTTCATTTTCAGAAGAGTGGGATCTGCTTAAAGATCCTTGTCTTGTAAGATTAGAAGGTCGAGGTTTTTTAGAGAGAGCAGCTACAGGTTCCTGAAATAAATGGCTGAGAAATGAGATTGGATACTTGGATGCGCTCGATTGGTGAGTTCTGCATGTTTGGAATTTATGTAATCAACAGAACGTTCAAGTACGAAAAAGTAGTTGGTGCAGACGGAATTGAAAATGGCAGAGAAGGAAATAGATGGGAAAATTTGAATGTCACATCTGCTTTCATACGGTTCGATTGAAAGCAGAATAGGACCAGACAGGACCTGCTCAGAACTCTCCAATCAAGCACCACCTATGACAGACAGGAGTTAAAGTAGATAATGACAATAAAGATATGTTTCTAATCTAAGATAAAACACACACACAGAGTTTGGATTACTGATTTACCATTTTAAACATCAGATGACTGGGTAAAATAGAAATTATTATAGATTAATAGGTATGATAATAAAGCCCTGTCCAAGCATCATGCATGTTTATTTGTCATTCTAATATAGGAACTAAGCAAAACATAACATGTCTATTCTTTCAAAAATAGAGCTTGAACTATTTACCACTGCATAGAATTAAACCATGATTTGATATGGGTTTTCAGAATTGGACCATTTCCATTAGGATGATAAAATGCCATAAGCTGAAATGTCACTTCACAGTCCACTAATCCTCCATGTGAAGATTTCAAAAGCTGATAAGAGACTGAAATGTTTTTTAAAGACTTACATTTTGTCCTGAAGGAGGTCGAGAACGTGGTCTAGCACCATGGCTACTATTACCACTACCTGCTCCAGGTGACACGCCTCTAGCACTACCAGCTGTCATGGATGTTTCTGAATCCCACCTCTCTAATTCTTCTCTTACTAATCTCTCCATTTGTTCTCTTTTCATTTCATCACTTGTTCCATCCGACTATAAAAAGAATTATTCTTTTTTATCAAGAAACTAACATATTTTTAAAGGATAACAACTTAGGTTTACAAGGATCCTTTCTACCAGCTGGTCCTGAGCCAACCCTCTGTACGTTATCAGTACCCATTTACAGTTGGGTTGCTGGAATAATGAGCATAGATGACTTATGCCATCACATGAAGTTTTCAACGCGCTTACAGAACCCCTCTGACATTATGAAGAACTCACCTCAGTTATGCTATCTAATATTTTTCCCATAGTCTCTCTTCTTTTTAATTTAGCTTTCTCCATAGCTTCTAATTTAACTAGAACAGCGTCAATTTTAGATACTATACTACCAATAGAGTGCTCCATTCTATCAACTCTTCTGGATAAGACTGTAAACTCTTCATATGATACACCATTAGATGTTCGTCCTGTACGAGATGATTTGGTACCACTATCTTCATCATCACTATCATCACCACTATCATCATTGAAACTAATACGGCTAGATGATCTGCCGGCAGTACCACTTCTTGGAGTTTTACCCAATTCATTATAATAAGCCTTGTTTATAGCACTCTGTTGATAAAAATAAATAAAATCATGAACATAATAATTATCCATTTCACTATGTTGGCTATGTCAGTTATTAGTGGAAAATATTTTGCTCAAAACATTTTTAAAAGCAGATTCAAGATATCAGTAAATACATTACTAAGCTAACACAAATCACTTTTTTTTTTTTTTTTACCTGCAATAGCCATCATTACTTTTTAAATTTTTTTTTAATATTTCCAGAAAGTCTTTTCTAATGTCTTTTTATAGATTCTCAGTTCCTTATTCATAATACAACACATACCTTTTCATTAGCCAGATCAGCTTGCATACGTTTCTGTTCTTCTTCATCCAGTACACGATCACCATCAATATCATACTTAGCAAACATAGCTTCAATTTCACCATCAGCATAACCACGACTAAAATATAATTAGGGGCATTTGAAAAAATCTTCAATACCAACTTAATTTTATGTTTGAACCCATATTTTTCTAGCGTGTACAAATATGTCCCCCTGTTCAGTGTACAATGTGTGAAATATTGTCCTTAAAGCATCTGCATGAGATTGTCTACATTTGAAATCTCATACCATACCAGTTCTATAGCACAGTCGGTTAGAGAGGTTGTTCTTAACATGATGTCATTTGCTTGGATCCGATCTCGATCGCGGTGTGAAAGTCCAATGACCTTGAATAAGTCATCTTCACTCATAATTCCAGGCGACCCAGCTGTAAATGGGTACAGATAATCCAAGTAAGACCAATACCAAGAGGTTTGGCCAGGGACCTGCTGGTAGAATGGATCCTAAACTGTGAACCTAAGTTGTTATCATTGTAAAATATAGTGGTTTCTTCCTTTCTTTACTATTCAATTTGCTATATCTCTGGATACATTAGAAGTTGTTTAAGAATCTACAGGTAATATCAACCAAAGCTGAAATCATATTTCCCAACTTATGTCATGATCACCGAACAATCTACTGCATAGTAAAAAGTTGTCTTACGTTTTAAGATCTTGTCTCCATTCATCAAAGTCAACTTGTTTATCATTATTAATATCAGCAGTCTTCAGAGCTTTCTGGATATCAACAATCTTATCTCTCTTCAGGTTCAGTTTATCCAAAACACGAGAATAACCCTATAGTTTAAACAAAAATTAAGCTATGAATACATCAGTTTCTTAAGCTTTTTTGGGGATAGTATAGGTAGTAGGCCTATAGGTTTGAGGTACTCATGGTTTAATTTTACATTGTCAGTTATGTGACCTTTCCAAAATGGATGTTGAGTTGTCATCAAGTATTCAAAGGGAGCATTGTTTGCCATTCTGGCAATAAGTGCAACTAAATAATTATAGTAAAGCTCAAGTCCATAAATTAAGCTTTGCTATAATAAGAGCTAAAAGCTGATAAAATAATCTTTGGTTCATCAGCTTAAAGCTAATAGGTTCATGTGGGTAACATGAGCTTCAAGCTAAGAAGGTATTTTGAGTTCAAAAGCTTCAATTGTAATCTTTGGTTCAGGAGCTCAAAGCTAAAAGGTTAATGTACATTACCTTCTTGAAATAGTCAGCCATTTCAAATTCATTCTTCATGTTTGCCATATCACCTTTAACTTCAGAATAGGTATCATTGATAATAGCCAAGAACATGTTGATGAGTACGAAGAAGACAAAGAACACAAACAGCATAAAGAAGATTGGACCAAGAATTCTGTTAGCAGCTTCAAGTTGTTGGAAGTCAAAATCTCCCAGAATGATACGGAACAAGGTAAAGCTGCAATGAAATAGTTCTAAGATCAAGATTGTATATTTTCAAACTTTGATTTCAATCTATAACAAAAGGTACAATTTTTGCCAACAACGAAATTTATTAGGTAAGAAAATTCTGATGTCAGCCAGTGCTTTCGAGGTCCATACCAATGATGGCTTAGAACTTTTATCAGCTACCCTATAAAAGAAACCAAATAACTTACAAGGAGTTCTGGAAACTGGAGAAGTCTTTGACTTGAGTACCAAACAGAAGATAACCAAGTTGAGTGAAGGCCAAGAAGATGATGAAAAACATAACTGCAAATCCAGCCAAATCTTTAGCACAACGACCTAATGTTGATGACAGTTGAGTCATTGTCTTGTTGAAACTAATGTATTTGAAGATCTGAAAAAAAATTCAATGCTAGAATATTTTTGATGAAATTGAAGGTCATTTAAGAGGCATGCACAATATATTGTTCTTAGAACGGTTACTTTTCTCAGAACACCAACTCAAGCTTGGCCTGAATTGCTTTAAAATGAATTACATGTTAAAATTTTTTGTCTAAGAATTGGACTTACCTTGATCCAAGCCATAAAGACCAGGATAGCAATGGTATTACTGAATCGTGTTTCCCAATAACTCAGTCTTTCAAAATCAGCATACTGTTCCTTGTTGGATAGGAGAGATTCTAGTTTCTCACCAACAACCAGTGTACGATAGATATCAAAGACCATACACACCAAAGCTAACAGAATAACCAATATATCAAGAATGTTCCAGAATCCTTTGAAGTATTGAAGACGATGTTTCTTGATCTGAAATGATGATCATTAAAATTATTAAGCGATTTCCATAAATTGAAATCAAAATCACTTACAAAATTTAGGGTTTCATAACAATTTTTGCATGATCAATAGTCAGCAGAAAAGCTTAGTTGGTAGGGCATTTCAAGAGTCATCCTTTTGCCTATTCCATCCAAAGACATCAGAAGATTGAGGCCATGACTAGCCATGTAGCATTAAGAAAAGAGTTATGGAAGATATATTGGTCCACATCTTGAGGCTCTTGAGATAAAAACATAGAGACAAGCACAAGGAACAAGCCTCATGGAGTAGGGCAGTGCACATTCCATAATGGCTGAACATGTTTAAAATTTATCAAGCTCATGTGTCTTCAGTCCAAAATTTGAAAGTTAACCCTTGTTCCAAAACAAAGACTAATGATGAGATTTGTGAATCCTAAATACAGTTAAATCTAGCAAAATATGAAATTACCAACCTCCAAAGCTTCCTCTACAATGTAGTAAAATATAAAGAGAACAAAGATGAATTCACAAGCCATGATGAAGAAATCAAATGCTGAGACATATCTGATCAATTTAACAGTTCTGAAGGTCCAGGATGGTATGGCTCCACCAGTAGCTGGGAACTCTATCAATAATCTGAAATAATTCAAGACATTACAAAAAATCCTAGATCATAGGTTTCAAAAATTATCTGCATCACCAAAACAACTATCTTTAGACTCGTGATCATAACTTTCTTATCAAAAAGAATTTCTTGAACACCATATAGTTCTTTATGTCTAGAGCCTGTCTCATGCAGCCAACTTGTGTCTTAGATATACAATACACAGCTAGTAATGGAAATGAAAGTTAAAATTCAAATTCCCATATATAAGTTGTATTGTAATTTCAACACCTCAGTTCAAATGCTGGAGCATAATTAATTGAAATGAAGACAGGTAACACCATGAAGTGTGCAATGTTGAAATTTTGCCTACTCCTTTTTGTTTTTCAACTGTTGAGATTTATAATGTGGACTAAAGGTTAGTAAGCAAGCATCTAACTCATTGAGCCACTACGACTCACAGCACAGTAATTAAAAGATCTTGACCTTAAGGCATATGATAAAGTTATCCTTTATTTTTGCAAATTAATTTAGGAAAAATTATAATTTCTCACCTTACTACACAGAAGAAGTTGATGTTGGCATTGTAAACAGTGAAGTCAATAAATATAGCTCTAGTTCCTCTTGTTACCCACAAATTATTAAACAGGTTATCAATAATCTTAGAAGATTCAGACATATTCAGAGCTAAATCTTGAATGTAACCAGCACCACTGTATGTTGTTAACAAACCCCAGTGAGATGATCCTTCTAGTTCAGTTTCAGTTTGATAATTCCAGCTGAAATAATAAATTTCATAATATGCATCTTTTTTTAACCAATATTACTATCAGGTGCTCTACCGTGAATTTGGTGAAGCAGCCATTACCATGTGACGTCATGTGATATTATAATTTGGAACCATGATATAAAACATGAAATTTTATAAACACTCAGTGTTTAAATGATAAAGCGGTTATTCAAATATCATCTTCATTACGCCTTCAATCATCACTTTTTCTTCAAACATAATGATGTTGTTGTCATTTCTGAACATCATTTTCTTTTTTACACCTATATTTGTAAGTGGAATAAAATAAAATCTAAATTTGAAAAAAAAAACTTACGCAGATCCATTTGTGTCTGATCCTTCAGGTCCAAAAGTTTTGGTATCTTCATTTCCTTCAGCATAAGAGTCAAAGCATTCTTGGATAACACCTTTAAAGTCATTATGAACAACACAGGAGTTACTGTGAACTTTGAGCTGCCGAATTCGAGGTACACCTAGTAGCTTATTTTCATAGTAGATATAGCCTTGTTGTTCTTCTGGTACAGATTGGTTGTTATACCATGTTTCCCAATATAAACCTTTCAACAATGGTTCTTTAGTGTACTATAAATATTTAACATTTTAGTGACATAATGTGTACCAAAAATAGCAGTCAAGATTTGTTAATGCAATGCCAAACATTCTAAAGCAAGGGATTGTTTGTTTTGAGTTCTGAGTACTAAAATAAACTGTTATTGTACCAAATAAAATCTGATAGCTAGTGGAAAATATATTTCACATGAAAGTTTCAATGCAATGATCATGCATGCATACCGAGATATTTCTTGTAGCACATGATATATGTCAAACTATGGTGCAAACACTATTTGTATGGTTAAAGTTTGTATCTAACATTCACATGGCCCTGGTGCTCCCTTGGCCCACCACAAGCAAAGTGAAAGGGAAGATTACTTCAACTATAAGATGTGAGCTGTTTGAATATATTTTTCAATCCATCACATCACCATCCAGGTACCCTTAGTAGTGCTCACTCTCACTGCTACTTCCAGGGCGAAACAGTACCCCAAGTAAGGAAACAGGGCTCTAGTAAAGTCAGGAATAAACTTAATGAACTTACTCTCCAGAAGTCATCAACATTAGTTACAGTACGGAATGTACCAGCTTTAGAGTTAGGGGTGTCCAGGAACAAATCACTCATCACCTTGGTGTAATAATACATAGTAGTACTTGTCATACCAAATGTTACTGAAAATACAATTCTTTCATGTTTATATCATATATATTTTTTTCAACCCAGTTTCCCCCTGTCAGTGATGCAGGTAAGAGGAACTGCCATTAAAAAAGCGTCTTGTCTTTTGGATGGGACAAAAAACCAAGGCCCTGTGTGCTTAAGACTTTGCATGTTAGAGAATCCTCGAAAGTTGGAAATTGACAAGAGCAGGCTAATGCCGCTGTCCTGACAAAATTTTCCCCAATGCACACTGCACATGGCGTTGGCCTTTTTCATTAGCCCACATTTGTAAATTTGCCAAATTCACTGTATGTTTCACAGTTGAGTATTTGGGTCTCATTAATAATATAGATGTACAATAGCTAATTATATATCATTATTAATTAAGATTTAACACCTTCTGTTTGTTATTTAATCATTATGTCCTTTATAGCAAGTTCCATGATTTTTTTCTGCCTCGGTGCAGACATCGAATAAGCTTAAATTATGTACCAGTAAATGTAAATGCTATTCAAAGACACATTTTGCTAAATGGATACATCCCAAATGTTCAGCTTGTTTAACATCAGTAGTCATATTTTGGAATCTGAATAGGATGACAAAAAATGCTGGGATTAATAATGAAAATACTTTTACTTACTGACACACAGAATAATGAGAAACACAAAGTAGATGATCAATTCTCTTAAAGTGGTCTTCACATACAATTCTCTGTTCTCCTTTGTTTCTTCTGTATGTCTGGTGGCCCATAATGCTGTTAAAATAAAAAGCAGTTTCTTACTTGGTGAAGCAATGATATTTTTACTATTTGAACTGAGTTGACTAAAATGGCATTAGGTGTTACAGAAGAATAAGTATGACATAAGCTTATGCCTTATGTTCAGTTTTTTTTTAAATAGCCTAAGACTGAATTATCAAGAAACTTTTCTCATTGTACTGGTACCAATATCTAAAATTGTATAGTGTACTCTCAGTCAAAACTATATAGAAGATTTCATGATTGTATATAACTGTGATTGTATAATTAAACTTTCAGGACAGAGCTAATACTGGCGTACTAATTAATTTAACTCGATTGATTGATAAATTATGTTTATAAGGGCACTGAATATAAAAAAGCATAAGTGTGCTGTATACACCAAATATCTGATTGATTGCATTAATGCATTATTTTAGCAAAAGAAAATTTAAACATGTTTAGAGCAAGCAAGAACAGGTGAATTAGAATCAAATGCTGCAAGCTACATTGGATATCTAAGTCTATTTAAATATTTAAAACAAAAATCAATAGATCAATCAATGCAGCAAATATTTAAAGGAATGGGATCTTGGTATCTTATACAAATTGCTATGGGTACCATGTAAACATTGTCAGGAATCAATACCTATTGTTCTAATATTGTCTTATTTAAGCTTAACGCATTCGGATAAAAACAATATGCTTATAGAAATATTAATATTGATTTATGAGAAAATAACTCAAAAGGAAACAGCATTCCGATCAAAGTGTTTTCAATATTTTATTGTTTTTATCGATTTTCACTTCCATAGTTCTATACCCTATGTAAACTGTTGTCATGACTTCATCCAAACATTACCGCTCAAACCTGTTCTACAAGTTGTTTAAATGGCTAAAAGTCAGTCAACCTCCTGCCTAGGGAATAAAACTACATCAATAATGTATAATCCCCTGGCAGAACTATAGATCTAGATCCTAAGATTGATATTAATTTCTTTTTCAAGGGCCGCACTTACAGTCATAGACTCACTTTTGATTTCTTGATCATAAACTTCTAGTTTTGTTACGATAAGAAACCATAATAGAACCCAATTCCATCTCGCACTTCCTTAATACTTATATCATTTCCAAAATCAAATTTACCCTTTATATCTGTAGCCTACACGTACCACAGACTACAGAAATATAGACTGTAGTCAGTTCCAGGGAAAAAATTAACAAAATAATGCATCAATCTAGACTTGGAAATTTGAATATCTGATAAGGCCTAGGCTACTGTCAAAATAATACTACAATACTTACATCTGATTCCACCCAAGATCTTGTAACAGCAGCCTCTTGATTGTGGTTTGGAACTTTTCTGTAGAGCTCTGGAATCATTTCCACTCATGTAAACTGGACTATCCATTCCGTTGGTTGAAGTATTGTCTTGAATTTCAGATCCGTAGTTGTCCACTCCGTCTCCCCAAGCTGTACGTGACTGAGCACTTGCAGGTCTGCGAGTAGCCGACATCCTGCTGGATTATAAACAGGTGTGGTAACCTAATTAACAAGTTTCTTTAATTGAATTTCCCAATTAAGATAATTGTAGAGACGCAACTTTTAACGTCTGTCCTTTATTACATCTACCTGCGCTAATAAGAACACGCAGAAAGTTTCAGGGTCCCGTGAAAAGTTTCAATCAATACTTCTTCGCCATTCCGACGATCAATCAATCATGGCTGAAAGTCTTCAACTATGACGTCACGATATAAACAGGAATGGTCGGTGCGTGCTCCTTTGTTCTAAAGCGTGATAAATATTGATCTATGTTCACCTTTAAAGGGACGAAAACAACTTTAATATTCTAATCAAATATATTATTCATAGCTATCGTCATATGTTGCTATTAGATACTTAGAAATTCTTATTAAAAGTTAATCAAAAGTTTCTTTGATTTGAGTTCTAGAATCCCGCAAGATGGCGCAGTTTACATTCGGTGCCAACTGAAAACGGTTTAAGCAACCGGTTTGTGAATAGCTACTTTTCAAACCATATACAGTGGTTCACCTAGATGAATGTGGAACTGTGGACGTCGGTGGGTTCGGATCCCTCCAACGGGAAAAATATGCTGTCCTGCATTCTTAGACCATTCTGTGAGTCAATGGTTATGCTTGATAATGAAAGATTTAAAGATTCTCGGTCTGTAGTGCCCTTGGTAGGGCCCCATCATACGTTGTGAACCATTGTAGGCTATATTGTGTGTTTTAAAAATTTAGCCAACTTTTGTAGACCTACATATTTTTTTATATTTTGTACTTTTTTCTGGGAGAGGACCAGTCCCGTGGCAGTAGCTTTAGCCCACTTATATCGACTTAATAGGCTTAATTATATATCGAACCAGGCGTTACCAGGGTTTTATTTTGTCGATTGCAAATCTCAGTGTATTGTGTTGTTGTGGAGACCCGCGTCCAAATTTGATATGCCTTTTTTAAGCCTACTGTGAATATCCAGATCATTCTAAAATACGCTTTACCCATCCTGCCTATTCTCAAAATCTCCTAACCAAGAAGAATATTAGTCCTTCAGCAGATTTATAGTCCAGTCTATTTAATTTATTAAACTTCCAATGGCGTTTTTATAAAGCATAAGGGGGTATCACCAGGCTTACACCGGGCCAGTCAAATTTCTCGAGGGGAAAGGGGGTATAAAAACAGATAGTTCATTCTACAGACTGTATTTTACAGAGATAAAGAAATGCCTGTGAGCCCTGATTGAAAATTAAGTAGCCCCTACTCTCCCATAATCAACTATATGATTCTGTTTGTGGAACTGAAAGTGTTCTGTGCGCACCAATACTGTCAAGAGTTGCGAATTGCATCAGAACAAACCTGTCTTTAAAGGAATACTACGTCTTAGAGTGGATATAAAATTTAAAGTCTCCAACATGATCAATAAAAGTATACATATATTCATTAGTTGGACTTACCAGGCGCCATGACTGAAGAAAAGATCTCTATTTATTACGATATCCATTAAATAAGCAATTATAGAAAAACGCTTTTAAGCGTGTTTCAAAAGTACTTATTTAATGGATTTTTACTTAGTTATATGCATTTATTGGATTTGAGGGATTCTGTCGTATAGTTTAGACACTGATGAACACAGGCTCATTTTGACCAGTTTAAAATTTCAATTATTTTCGTCATCCTATACCATTGAAAATTTACCAATAAAGATGTTTTAATTTCACGTTAATTTAGGTAAAACTGAGTTTTTACAAGGAATATCTTCGACTAAAATTCTTTACATGAAATATCACAGAAAGTATAATGTGAGAAATATGATATTATAAAAGTATAATGAAAAAGTATAACATAACAAAAAGTATAACGGAAAGTTATTATAATTATAAGAATTATAATGCAAACATATAATACCGTAAAAAGTATAACGTAAAGTTATGATAATTATATGAATTATAATGCAAACATATAATATTGTAAAAAGTATAATGTAAAGTTATGATAATTATAAGAATTATAATGCAAACATATAATACTGTAAAAAGTATAATGTAAAGTTATGATAATTATAAGAATTATAATGCAAACATATAATATTGTAAAAAGTATAATGTAAAGTTATGATAATTATAAGAATTATAATGCAAACATATAATACTGTAAAAAGTATAATGTAAAGTTTTGATAATTATAAGAATTATAATGCAAACATATAATATTGTAAAAAGTATAATGTAAAGTTTTGATAATTATAAGAATTATATTGCAAACATATAATACTGTAAAAAGTATAATGTAAAGTTATGATAATTATAAGAATTATAATGCAAACATATAATACTGTAAAAAGTATAACGTAAAGTTATGATAATTATAAGAATTATAATGCAAACATATAATATTGTAAAAAGTATAATGTAAAGTTATGATAATTATAAGAATTATAATGCAAACATATAATACTGTAAAAAGTATAACGTAAAGTTATGATAATTATAAGAATTATAATGCAAACATATAATACTGTAAAAAGTATAATGTAAAGTTATGATAATTATAAGAATTATAATGCAAATATATGATACTGTAAAAAGTATAATGTAAAGTTATGATAATTATAAGAATTATAATGCAAATATATGATACTGTAAAAAGTATAATGTAAAGTTATGATAATTATAAGAATTATAATGCAAACATATAATATTGTAAAAAGTATAATGTAAAGTTATGATAATTATAAGAATTATAATGCAAACATATAATATTGTAAAAAGTATAATGTAAAGTTATGATAATTATAAGAATTATAATGCAAACATATAATATAATAGAAAGTATAACGTAAAGTTATGATAATTATAAGAATTATAATGCAAACATATAATATTGTAAAAAGTATAATGTAAAGTTATGATAATTATATGAATTATAATGCAAACATATAATACTGTAAAAAGTATAATGTAAAGTTATGATAATTATAAGAATTATATTGAAAACATATAATATAATAGAAAGTATAACGTAAAGTTATGATAATTATAAGAATTATAATGCAAACATATAATATTGTAAAAAGTATAATGTAAAGTTATGATAATTATATGAATTATAATGCAAACATATAATACTGTAAAAAGTATAATGTAAAGTTATGATAATTATAAGAATTATAATGCAAACATATAATATTGTAAAAAGTATAATGTAAAGTTATGATAATTATATGAATTATAATGCAAACATATAATACTGTAAAAAGTATAATGTAAAGTTATGATAATTATAAGAATTATATTGAAAACATATAATATAATAGAAAGTATAACGTAAAGTTATGATAATTATAAGAATTATAATGCAAACATATAATATTGTAAAAAGTATAACGTAAAGTTATGATAATTATAAGAATTATAATGCAAACATATAATATTGTAAAAAGTATAATGTAAAATTATGATAATTATAAGAATTATAATGCAAACATATAATATTGTAAAAAGTATAATGTAAAGTTATGAAAGAAAACATGTAATATTGTAAAATGTATAATGTAAAGTTATGATAATTATAAGAATTATAATGCAAACATATAATATTATAAAATGCATAATGTAAAGTTATGAAAGAAAACATGTAATATTGTAGAAAAGTATAACGTAAAGTTATGATAATTTCAAGAATTATATTGAAAATATGTAATATTATAGATAAAGTAAAGTTATGATAATGATAAGAAATATAATGAAAAAATATATTATTACAAAAAGTATATTGAAAAAGCATCGTATATAATCATAAAAAGTATAATAAAAAAAATATTCTTAAAACTATAATGAAAAAAAAAGTATAATTATGAAAAAAAGAATTATGAAAATATAATAGTTAACATATTAAATAAGAAATATATAAATATTTAATATTATTAAAAGTATAATGTCAAAATATAATGTAAAAAAGTATAATGAAAAATGATATGAAAATATAAAAAAAGATATAAGTTATAAGAAATTGGGCATTAAAACTAAACTTTATAGAATATCTCGGAAATGTCATAACTGTCGGCATGCTTTACAGGGGAAAGATGTTTGTAATGTGTTTCATTCATTCAAGAGATGACAATCTGGACAAAAATGATAAGGTAATCTCACCTGAGTTATAGGTCCCATTTGTCACACACCTTACAGAAACAAAGGTCATTGGAGAGATCTCTAAGAAAAGAAAAATATATATATAGTATATATTATATTCTATTGCACACCAGGAATACAAAGATAAAGGGACAGACCAATCATACTTAAAGATGGTTTCCCTTATTTTCATAACCAGCAGAATTCCAATGAGTGTCCGATCAAGAAAGGGCAAAAAGTTTTTTTTTGTTTATCCAGACTGCGCATACATTGGCATTTATTATTGATTAAAATTCTTAATTATAACATAGAACATAATGATATAATTAAGAATACATGATAATTCATTAGAAACACCAATTAATCAAATAGTTTGCTTAATTTGACACTAAAAAAAGGAAACCCATCTTTAAGTCTGAGAAACGGGAATATATTCAGTAATAAAGTTCACAGCTCATCAATTTGAGCCTTCAAAAGCATGTGTGTCCAGAATTATCTTCTTTTGAATGTTATCACAGAGTATCTTAAACTGACGAGTCGTCATTTTAAGACACTGATATATAGAAGAGACATATATAGAAATAGTGAGTAAATTTCCCAGTTTGAAGTCTTTTTGAAGGAATTTTGTGATTTTCATACATTTCTAGTACTTCTGAAGACTATTTTCATAAATATGGCACACCTGCCTCTTTAACAAAACAATTAAGTATCTATTTTATGCACATCGAAAGAGTCTGGAAAACCTTATGACTGTTTTTTTCTTCACAAGAGCCTAACTTAACATGATGACTGCTTTGAAGAAAAGGCTTCTATCAGGACAATTATAAGTTAAAACTCACCTTTAAATATTTGACATGGGGTTAACATATTAAGATTGAAAACTGTTTACAAGAAACCCTTCAATAGCAGAATTTAACTTTCAAACTATGTAAATTGTTTACACTTAAATTTGATAGAAACATGATATTTGACATAAATAAACGAGACCAGAAACAAGTTTCACTGGTTAAAATGTACCTCATCAAGTAGGATTAGTTAACCAAATTATTTGATTATTTTACTGGTGTGGTAGAGTGAACATTGTCCACATGTAGGTTGAAAGGTAAATAAGGCATTTCGTCACGTTAAACAAAGTCTTAGTTTATACTGAATCAAACATTTTAATTGGCCACATGAAAGGTCAGAATTTGCATTTGGAATACATCATTGTCTATTTCCTTAAAATTGTATTAATTACAAAACAAAATGTAATAGTTTAATCTAAGGAATAAATGTAACAACATTTTGACAGTCTTTGATATTATGGTAAGTAATAGTTTTATTTTGCTCTGTTTGTTATAATTTAACTTTGAATTGGTTAGGATGCTGTGTTTCTAATATCCAAAGCCAATTGTATTATACAGTAGGCCTATATAGCTACCCTGAATCTTCTTTCGCTGTTTTCTTGTACCTATAACATTTCAATAACAGACCTATGTCGTTAAAGATTTTCATCGATTAAAACTATGAAATTTGAAACACTTTACAAAAGATTTCAATTGACTATCGCTATTATACAGTAATACCGTTTTAGATCTCCCTGAAAAGCTCCGAATCTCTAGGTTGGGTTTTCGGTACTTAGAACTAGAGCTAAGATGGTGGGTGTTAATTAATATTAATGTAATTCATCAATAATTTACAGGATACTCAAACACTGCGGGTTATTCAGGTCCCATTCATTTCAAAACAATAATAACTGGTGACAAAGTGGGGGTAAATTGTTTTTAATAACTATTGTTAAATTAATGGCTTTATCAGATAATTATATGATTTATTATATTCAAACGGAAATATCTTTATATTGATGTTAATGGTACTATGACCAATTAAATACATTATATACTTCTATAATATCATATTTTCATCACGTAACTGTAGGACACTTGGACGTCATACGAAATATCGTGTCCAATTGGTTAGTCAACATAATGAAAGTTCCTGTGGTCAGAATGACTTCGACGTTATATAATCGTTACATTAGGATTTAACACAATTATAGATCATATGCAAAAAATATACTTTTATAAGTGATTTATTTTAAGTAAGTAAGTATTTCATCTGAGTCCTACCATTCCCCATTTTCACAATGTCAAGTTATTACGAACTTTGCCTCCATCTTCACAATGTCAAAATATATTACGAACTTCGCCTTATACCAAGTTCGTAATAGCTTGACGTTGTGAAAAAGTTCATTCCGAGAATCAGTTTTGATTTACAGAATTAAATGCAATTAATTTCAGTGAAAAACCTTTCATTATTGACTTTTAATATCATTTGTATTTCTGTTTTCAGGAAAAGATTGAGATTCCGACAAAATCAACTGTCAAAATGGTATGATCTGAGTAAGTCACATCAGTATGAAAATGGGGAAGTATAACAGAAGGCCTGCATGGTATCTCTTATTGGTAGTACTTCTTCAAGCAGCTATTACTTATGGACAGAACGTCGTTGATGATACAGTTTTTGAACAGCTTGCAAATTTTTCATGTGGTATGAAATGGGAATGTCCATCAGTAGAAGGGCTTTATTTACCATGTGCTTGTGATAATCTGTGCCAGATTGCTGGTGACTGTTGCCAGGGACATTTTGAGACCGTTAACTTACCAGAAATAAATCCAGAAAGTTTTGAGTGTGCTTTCAGTCCATTAGTTGACGATAGCATTCTTATGATTACAAAATGTCCATCTAGTTGGGATGGAGACAGAGTCGAGGAATTATGTGAATCAGGTCCAATGTGTCTGGAACTGAAAATGGTTTCATATATAAAAACCAATACTGTGCAAAGTGTCACTCCGAACCATACCAGTTCTGGCGACCAACCATTGGTTGTAATGACTCGTTCATTTTCCCAAACAATCCAGAGAAAAACTTAAAAATGTCTGAACTGCTAAAAAGCAAAAGCCACTGTACAATCGCTAAGTTGACCCCACCTGATGGAGCATTTATTCGGAAGTGCCATAAATCCAACAGCCTAGTTGATACATGCCCGCAATCATGGCTCGATGTAAAGATTAGAGATTTGTGTGAAAATCCGAAAGGAATTCAACCGGTTTATTATATTGGAGAAATTCGAATCAAAAATATCTATTGTGGTTTTTGTGGAATTCCAGACATTTCCAAATTCCAGTGCCCAGATTTACATCCACAGAGACGAACAGTCGATTTTTATCCTTTCTCAATTCTCTTTGATATCAATAAAATAGAGAAAGGCGAAGAAAAAGTTATTGTATGTTCCCAGAATCAAGTCTACGATCCGTTTGTTAATATTTGTCGAGATGCTTTGTGCAGTAGAAACATGGTCTTCAAGAATGGGCAGTGTGTTTTTTCTGGAAGCTCATCAGATCCAGTGACTAGCTTGGATTGTCCTCACATATTACTGAATAAATCTGAATTCGAAATTTCTGATGAAGGGAGACTGGTCATATTGAGCTCTAAATACGTTTATGATCCCGAGTTATATGAACTTTTGAAAGACAGCAACCAAGTTGCCGTCTGCAGTAACTTTACTCAAAACTATACTTCGTCTGAACTTGAATATAATTTTGATGATGTTCAGGCCATATTATCTGTGATAGGAATAACGTTATCTATAATAGGATGTGTTCTAACTATTTGTGTATATTTAAGTTTTAAATCATTGAGGAATATTCCTGGGAAAATTGTGATATCTTTATGTATTTCTCTAATACTAGCTTACCTTACCATGTTGATAGGTCCTGCAATGCGAGAGAATTTCGCTGGATGCAAGTCTTTTGCCATTATGATGCATTATTTTTTCTTAGTTGCGTTTTTCTGGATGAACGTTATGGCTATAGACGTATGGTATACTTTTGCTTATCACCAAGCTGGTGGAAGTAGTGAACGGTCAACAAGATTCCGCTTTTATGTTCTTTACGTTTTCATCATGGCCTCCATACCTGTTATTTTATCCACCATCTTGAATGAAACTGAAATCGCAGACGACTTCTCTCCACATTACGGAGAAGGAATTTGTTGGTTTACCAGAAGAAATGCTCTATTGGTTTTCTTTGGATTACCCTCGCTATTGGTCTTAATCGCTAATGTCATTTTATTTCTGATCGCAGCCAATACCATCTACTCGGCCCAGAAAAATTCTGTTCGTCTGTTGGGAAAAGAAGATAAAAGCATGCTCTCTATTTACGTTAGATTGACTATTGTGATGGGGGTGGCCTATTTGTTTGGATTTCTGGTGCCTTTGTACAACCATCCGGCTATCTTGTATATCTTTATAATCCTGAATACACTGCAAGGGTTGTTTATCTTTGTATCCTTTGTATGTACACGCAAAGTTCTTGGTCTGATACGTGAAAGAGCCAATAATTGGAGTCAGAGTCGATCTGACGGTTCGTATTCTGGTAGCAGATCAACCACTAAATCATCAGCAGTTTCTTTTCGACCGACAACAGGAAAGTTCTAGTAGCTTAATGCCTTGTAAAAGATCATTTCGCCTAATGATAATTTAACCGGTGCAATAGATTCTATTATTTAGTCGTGTCATGAGTGTAGTTTATTCTTGTTGTACCTTCCAGAATGGAGGAATAAAGCATTGCCATTTTAAGGGGTTCTTGGGCTTAGGATTGGGTAGTTTACAGATCGATATTTTGCGCCCCCTGAAAAAAATGAAACGCATATTATTTTTAGTGCTTTTGAATTTTTGACTTCTTTCAGACATTCTGAACTATATCTCCACAATATCAAGCTATCACAAACTCCGTACTTATACCTTGACTGCAATAACCACTGTTCTTGTATCTCGGATTGAACGCCAGCATCCCTCGACGTGCGTCCACAGACGTTCTGTTGAGGCCTCTGATTGACTGTATTCGCTAGTCTATAATGCATTCTAATCGCTCCATTATCAAGCTTCCGTGATACAAGAAAGGTGACTATTGCAGACAAGGTAGAAGTACGAAGTTCGTAATAGCTTGACATTGTGAATATGTTGTGACTATGTACATTAATTATTTATGCATGTAAAATGATTTAATTGTGCAATAGCCCTATTTTCAAATTTCATATAAATAAAGGTGCTTTTTACTACTTATCTGAAAATATCTAGGCTAACCAACAAAGTTAAGAAGATTTGAAACAACAGAAATAGTGCTGAAAGCCGATTTGTAGGAAGGGTTTAGGAATAAGAATGAATGATTGAGTTGTCATTATGTTGAAGAGGATTAAATATCAAAACAACACAATTATAAGGGAAGCTTATACGAAAATATCGTGCCAAACAACAAACAGATTTTTACACAACAAAACCATTGATGTTGTGGTTTTGTGCTAAACAGGTCTAAAGATAAATAGGTATAATTTTATGGACAGATGTGGTTCTCAAAAGACAATGTTGATAATAATAAAAATACTAGAATTATCCATCCATAAAATTTTCTTACATGCAATAACGTGTGCTTCTAATATGCCATGGTAGAATTAATAGGTCTAAAGATAACAGTAATAGTCCCAAACTATTAAAGAACGCCTGTTGAACAGAACACATCTCGGTGTTCATAGAAAATTCTTAATGCAGCGATTGTTTTGTAGTTCGATTTGTAAGTTAGTAAACATAACTATTCAGAGAACTCGACAATTGCAGTTATATCGATACGTGTTTTTCTGTAGAGGGCTCTGATTAGCTGTAGGTCAATTTGTTTGCGTACAATTCAATCAAATTGCTGATATGTATTGTCAGTACACCAAGTTTTCTACCTCTATAAACCTTGAAAGGAGAATTACTTGCGATCTAAATGAAACTCACCGAGGTCAAAAAATTTCAGTCTGGGTGATTACGATAAATGTATTTCGAACCCGTGCTTTACCTTTGTTGATCGAAACATTCTTGACTTTTCGGTACAATACTGACATTTTCGCTTGTAAATTGCAAAGTCAGGGGTTTTAGCTTAGATTTTCGGAGGCGATCTCACAATCCCTAAACAAACGAGACAACAAAACCTCGATTCTCAAGTCAGTAAATTTTTGGGGCAGAATCCATGATTTTTGTCCAGTGAGATACGAGTAATTCCGAACAATCTGTGACTGTAATGTTCAGATTGTGCTGCATGATTAGATTAATTATCACCAATCAGTGTCATTCGGGATGAATTTTAACTCAGTAGAACAAAAATAAATTAAAAATAGTTGATTGGATAGTGAGATTTTAAACCAATTATAGCTCAGTGTGAATATTCAGGTTATAGTTTAGAGAACTATTCATTTTATTTAAATAATTCGAAAAATAACAGGGACGATCTTTTCAAGTGAACATGACCAAAGGCCTATATCGCGTTTCAAATTAAATTTACCCGATTTTACCCGATTTTTTGAATACAATATTTTATTGATGCGTTAAAGGGATCGAGGAACAGGTTTATGCCCATGTTACCCCTATCCATGATATATTACAATATATAGTGTACATAAACTAGTGTCCAAAAGAAACGATACCAACTTATTTTCAAAATTGTTTTTTACTAAGTGAATTGTCTAATTTAAAAACATGCCAATTCGTATTGCACATCCCAAACACAGCATAGTCGATAAAAATACCGGGAACACGTGATCACTTCCGGGAAAAAACGTAAATTTCGTGAAAGTGACATTTCCCTGTCTAGCATGTTCTGCACGTGCATAAAAACTGTATAAAACGGCTCATCAGACACGTTGATATCACAGCAACAAAAAGAACACAAGATATGCCACTTTTGACAGCCATCGACAGAGAGAGAGCCGTTGGAATGGTCCAACAAGGAGCGACACACGTCGACGTCGCCAGAAGGTTGGGCTGCACACGCATCACTATCACCAGGTTGATGTAGCGGTTACGTCAGACAGGTCAGACGTCAGACAGGCCCAGGAGTGGAAGACCACGAGTAACCGCGCCCCATGAAGATCGGTACATCCGGGTATTACACCTGAGGAACCGCACCGTAACAGCGACGTCCACGGCGGCTACAGCACTGGGACACAGGATCAGTCGACAGACCGTCTACAGGAGACTACGGCAGTATGGTATCCGGCCACGTCATCCTTGACACGCCTCGACACCAGAACAACAGACTGATCTGGACCAGGCGAGTTCGACGTTGGCAACGGCGGGACTGGGCACGTGTTATGTTCTCTGATGAGAGCAGATTCCTCATCTTCAAAAACGATGGATGACAGCTTGTATACTGACGATTTGTTGAACGTTTGGCGCCTAACTTTATCCAACAGGTCCGGTCGTTCGTATGTGGTGACGTCAACACGAGGCTTGTCGTAATTCGTGGAAACCTGAATGCACAGCGTTATATTGATGACATCCTACGGCCTGTTGTGGTGCCCTTTATTCAGCAACAGCCTCGTGGACTCCTTTTCCAACATGACAATGCAAGGCCACACGCAGCAAGATTGACACAGAACTTCCTTGCCAACGCCAACGTACAGGTTTTGCCATGGCCCGCATGTTCACCGGACATGAATCCCATCGAGCACTTATGGGACCACCTCGATCGGCAAATCCGACTTTGCCGTGTGCCTCCAGTCAACGTCCAGGACTTGGAACGATGTCTCCTCGAGGAATGGCAACGAATCACTCCCAACGTCATCAGACGTTTGACGGCATCAGTCCGTAGGCGTGTTCTGGCATGTATTGATGCTCACGGTGGACATACCCGCTACTGACTTGACTTTGTGACGTGTGGTGTGACATTTCCCGTTGTTTCTGTGATCAGTGCTCTAACGAAATGTTCTTTTTTTTGACCCCACCCATCTTTAAAGGCTTGTCATATTGGTTGTACAGATTTTATTGAAATGAAATTTTTGTACAGATGTTGTGAAAGGATTTCTCAAAAGCATAACACCAATCCTAAACTTCTGCATTGTTTACTTTCTTTTATGTCGTTGCAAACAGGTGGTATCGTTTCTTTTGGACACTAGTTTATTATAAATTGGAGAATTGATCAAGACATAGCCCAAGATATAGCCTATATTTTTGTTCGGGTGCAAAATCCATTTACAGTTGAAATTTGAAAAAAAAGATGCTTCTTCTAATAGGCTAATAAGGTGGAAAGGGCGTAAAACTCCATTTTATCCATAGAGCGTCGTCAATCATTCAGGAATTAATCAAAGTGGTATATATTTCTTGTCTATGTTTAGATATATAATGTATGTGATCGATGAAGAAAAGTTATAGGCTAATATTCCTACGTTGTATGGATAGAGTTATTATTGATTAATGTAGTGGAAAATTTTGACGTGCAGGTGTTTTAAAAACTTGATAATGTTGCGTAAGTATAAAAATGTCCCTCTCTCTGTTCAGTTTAAAGATAGCCTGAAGTTTTGCCAACCTTATGACCAATCGTATCATAATCTTAGAGAAGAGAATTTTCATAGCTAATCAGTGATAGTGTTTACAGCTCACCGTCGAAAATTGAGCTTTTGATTCCATGTAAGTCGAGAATTATCCGCAATTGAAAGTTAAAATGGCCACTCGTCTTTTCTTGAGGCTCCACCAAATATAAAAAGACATAAGTATGGGCATATATGTAAAGGGATTATGCGATTTTCGTATAGTTTTAGTACGTTTGAAAGTCAACCACAAATATGGCGAACTATATTAGGCTATGGCCTTGAAAGAAAACATAATTGCAATTGCCAAAAGGCAATTCTGAATTAAAAGCAATATTAATTTTCAAATGCTTTTTGATACCTTTTCTATCGCTATCCCACTCTAGCCATTGAAAACTGTCAATATCATTTCATTCTAAAGGCTTGGATGACAACGAACTTTCAATAATTCAACAAATTTCATATTCACACTTCAACCGATCTAAACATAGAACATAGTAATTGGAATTGTTTACATGATGTTCATTTAAATAAGACAATAAAGGTAGCTGTGTTTATTTTATTCAAATTTCAACGTGTTCAGAATGTACCATTATTATCAACTTAAAATTCTGTTTGTATAAGTCTGGTTATTATTTATATTCAAAAACTATTTAACGCCCCTCGAGTGGGTCACAGCGACACCCATAAAAAAGATATTTTATATCTGGCTCTAAGCATACTAGGAGTATCCCATGCATAGGCAGGCCATATCAAGTCCAAGGATATGGGCAGATTTGGGACAAATTTTAGCCTCTTGGTTGCCTATTTGTTTAAATATTAATAAAGAATCAAGGAGTTCATAAAAACCTTCCTTTTAATAATTGAACTTTGACACATGCTTTCTTTGTGGTCTGAAATCGAAGAGAAGGTAACTCTTCATCCGGGGATTTCAAGTTTTAAGAAAAAAATCCCCTAGTTTAGAAGAGGTAAGGATATCAGCAGGTGATGAAAGTGTCATTATCCAAAAGCTTCATTCCATGCAATTTCAAATATTATGTACTGAATGTCTTAACTGATGCTCTACTCAAAGCTAATCGCAGTTCTATGTGCGTTTTCAAACTCCTATCATTGTCAAAGGAAAAACTGATATGGCAAACGATGAAGTAATAATGGATGGATGACTGTCGTTGGCATGGATTCGATTCATAGCATGTGCTTGTTGGCGCATAAATGGAAAGCCCGGGAAAATTGCAATATGTCAAGCAATGCTTGAAAATTAAAAAAAATTCTTTAGTTTATATGTTTGTCATGGCAAACATTTTAATGTACACTGATTTTTCTTGCTCAATCTGGAATCCAGAACAGAAGATTAAAAATTTACATAACTCCATATCAATGAGAGATGAAAAATCCTCAGGAAAAAAGGTTATTGACTTAACTTATTCTCATTCATTTTCGTTACAGAAATTAACTAAAAGTACCAGAAAAAAGAAAGTAATGGCATCAGGAGGGTTAGGAAGGGGTGGTCGTGGCCAGGCTTTATTAAAAGCGTTGAGTCAACCAGCCAGAAAACCAGGACAAATAGAAGAGGAGGTGAGCCACTCATAGTGGGACTGCCTGTGTTTTTTATTGATTTGAATACATCTAAAGTCATTTTCAACATAGACCAATGTGATGGCTTACAATTTAATATCACAATATTTCTGACAATCTAATCTGAATAACAGTTGTAATTTAGCACTTAAATCATTTGCTGTCCTTTCAGAAATCAAAACAAGACATATCAGAAACAAATACTGCCTCAGGAACACAAGCAGCAACTGCTCAACCAGCATTCCGTCCTATGGGAAGGGGTAGTTTTCTACTCAAAAATTTAAAGGAAGCCTTACCTCAAACAGGGTCTACACCAGTATTACCAAACCCACAACAATCTTTAACATCATTACAAACAGGTGAGTTGATATACTGCACAGGTAGCAAAGGTTTTTTAAATAAGGTAGTGAAAGTAGTTATTGGCATCCACCTAATCAAAGTTTTCAATGCATTTTATCCTTGCATTACAGATAAATCAGATAAAAAGATGGTTTACTTACTCTTGTTGGTATAAACCACCAATTAAGTTAATGCATATATTTATCAAGCAATTTGGACACCAATTATAGCACATGTCATTGTGCAACTCTGGCGATTTTGAAGTTATCTAGTTTGCAATTTGTTGATATGCAATTTAAGGTGTACCCACAGCTCAGCCACCTATCAGATTAGGAAGGGGATTAGCAGACTTTCAGTCACTGTTAAGAGGGTAAGTTGACTACTTTCTGAATTAATTATTGTCATTTTGTTTGGGTTTAATTACTGCACAGATTTAGATAGCTTCTAGTAACATTAAAGGGATGACATGAAAATAACTCCAGACTTTGAATGGGACAATATATCCCCTAACAGTGGGTTATGTTGATTTGGTAGCTCTTTGCAAGATTGACTCATTGAACTCGTTTGGAAAGCTAAATTTCATTTCAATTTGTATATTTATAATGTTATTCTTGTCATTGTATAGCAAAGCTCCCGTTTTACCAGTTGGACGAAGTACATTTCTACCTCCATCACCTCAAGGTAGTACATCACCTCCAGCACCTGGTACACCCGTTAGTTCAGGATCTAAAATTAGTCAAGGTTCTCCTGGATCAGGATCTAGTGAGGGTTCATTACCAAGATCACCACCTCCCTCTACAGCACCTAGATCACGACTTGATGTTGGAGAAAGATCTGCTACTGTCCATAAGTCAGGTTCTGATGGCAAAGTGTAAGTAGAGAGCTTAATTGTGATATATATTAGAGGTTGAAAGCAAGGCTATGGCAACTTTCTGATATACTTATATTGGCATCAGAATTTGTCTCACCCTTAGGGGGATTTTAGTCAATGGCACCTAATCACCTTGCAGATGACAATCCAAACCTCTATTACCAGAGCTTTCCAGAACTTAGATGACTATATGAATTGAATTATTTCAGGTTGCCTATGTCAGCTAACTATATTCGTGTTAAATGTAAAAATGAAGGTGTATATCAATACCATGTATCATATAATCCACAAATAGACAGTAAATTTATTAGATGTCGTATGATCAATGAACATAAAGCTGTTATAGGAGAAACTAAAGCTTTTGATGGTGCCTTATTATTCCTGCCTAAGAAACTTCCTCAAGAGGTATACCCGGTTTATTTTTGGTGCTTATCTTGTTTTTATCATAGCTTTACACATTATGTTGATTGCATTGAATGTCAATGTTGCTTGTTTGAGTGAGTCTTATGTTGTTTGACATTTGTCCAGGTATGAAAGGCTTTATTGTTAGAAGAGAGTTGCATTTGACTCTAGTTAATGAAGCAAGAGCCGAGTTTTCCTAGAATATTCTTGTTGTTGACCTATAGCTCCTGTTCAGTGACATCGCTGGCATTGCTAATACCCTCGAAGTCCTATATTGAAAACTTATTTTCGTGACTGGCCACAGGAGGATTTTTATTTGAACTATTTGTCAATTGTGTTGTCTTTCTGTGGGTACACTCTGAAGTGTTACTATGGGGTTGTCTCCCTTCCATAATAGACTTCATGTTTGGTATATTGTATTTGTAGAACACTATATTGGTATCTAAGAGAAGAAGTGATGGTGCAGATATTACACTCACAATAAAACTGATTAAAGTAGTCCCTCCAGAATTTTGTACTCAGGTTTATAATATTTTACTTAGAAGGTAAGGTCCCACTCATATGAATCATTAAACTTATTGACTTAATTGTAATGCATGTTTGTATCACGATACGACCTGTATCAACACTTGTATTGTATCGCCATTACATATTCATGTTGAAAATACTCTTGTAGCTTCTATTTTTTATCTGCAGCTTTTGTGTACTCTATATTGTTACATTGGGTATTGACTCTTCCTGTGTTGTTTAAGGAGGTAAGATTAGTCTATTAGATAGAAGATTTTAATAACTAACATGTTTGATTTCTGTTGTAGAGTAATGAGTATATTAGAATTATGTCAAGTTGGTAGATATTATTATAATCCACATACACCATCATCAGTACCTCAACACAAGTAAGTTATTTACTAGTATTTTTCATCCCAGTCTTGCTTCATCGTAAAAGTAGTATTCAAATACTAATCCAATTTAGTTCATGCACTGAATATTGACTATTTATAATTTATATAATTCAGATTAGAAGTATGGCCAGGATATATTACTGCTATTCAAGAACAAGAAGGTGGATTAATGTTATTATTAGATGCTTCACACAGAGTGTTACGTACAGAAACAGTTCTTGATGTCATGTAAGTATGCCTTGAAAATATCATTTCTATATCTTGTTTAGGGAATCACGTTATGTTTTTATATGGGCATAGAATAAAAATGTCCATCCACTTAATGATTATAACTTTAATTCATTGAATCTGTATAATGGAAGTAAATTTTTGGAATGAACGCGATCTTTTGCAAAGTGTTCCCCCATTGCACACTGCATGGCATTGCCTGTCTTCATTAACACAATCAGGTCTGAAAACTGGGATTTTCAACTCTATTTGATTCCTTTCAAGCATATTACCAGTACATCAATTTATGGACTAGTATTAACTCTCTTTCAGGCAAGCTGTAGTACGTAATAATCCTAAAGGTTTTAAAGATGAGATAACTAAATTAGTATTGGGTAATATAGTGTTAACAAGGTACAACAATAAAACATATAAAATAGATGATCTATTGTGGGATAAATCACCACAAAGTACATTCCCAGCTAGTAAAACAGGACAAGAAATCTCATTTGTTGATTATTACAAGTAAGTGTGTTTAATTTGTTCTTTGAAAGAACTGTTTTTGGGGAAATTTATATATTATAATCCATGAGAAAATTCCTAAAATGATACTTTAAAGGATGCTGTCACTTCTTATAGACACAAAAGATATGAATAACAATTTCTCTTATACATGATTTGCAACTATTTAGCAGAAATTATTTTGCTAAAAAAGACAAGAAGGCCATTGTTGAAATACCACAATTTGCAATTTCTATAACTATGTTCACTTGTAATATGTTTTCACAAAAAAAATTGTTATTTTATTTTTTAGAACAAATTACAATGTGACTATAACAGATGTAGAACAACCATTGTTATTACATAGACCTAGAGCTAAACGTATGCCAGGGGTAAGTTTATTTTCCGACTTCATTTTGCATGGCTTCCACTTTTATTCAGTATAATATTTTATTTGCTTCTAAAAAAATTCTTCATATCAAAGACTTCATGACAGATCTGTTAGCTTTTTTTCGGACTTGAAAATTCAGTGTCCCTTGTATCCTGTAAGCATAATAGCAAATTTTATATTAACTTGTACAGTTATATTTTTCTTGCTTTTTCTGTGCATAAATTGACATTCACTGAATTTTTGTTACAGGAATCAGAAGCTAAACAAGAGTTCATATGTTTAGTACCAGAGTTATGTTATATGACAGGTTTATCAGATGCCATGAGATCAGACTTTAGACTGATGAAGGTAAGTGAAACACTTTCAAATAAAAATCAACAGAACTTTCTAAAATCGTTATACAGATCAAACTTTAAAAATGACATGATCAAGACGATACATATTTATCTTCTTTTATCTATAGTTAACTGCTGAACATTGAGTGTGAATGAATTAAAAGAGTCAAATACCCTGATCTGGAGTAATATGTCTTAAGTGTATGCTTCATTATAACATAATGTGACATTATTTGGTAATGGCTGCTTCTTCTAAGGTCTCTGCATATATCACATTTAAAAGGGTTAAGTATTTCTATTTTAATTTCATAGGATATTGCCTCACACACAAGAGTGACCCCAGCCCAAAGACAAATGGCTATGAAGAAGTTTTTAGATGCTGTTAGAAATAATAAAGAAGCTAATTCACAGTTTGTTAACTGGGGTCTAGAATTAGACTGTAATACAATAGATGTAAGTTTTTTTCATATTGCAAGCAAATTTGTTAAAAGTTCTAATTAATGATAAAATGAAATCCAATAAATGAAATTTTTGAAAGAAAAAAACTAATTCATCTTGCAATTTAAATAATTTATTGCCAAAATTTGTCACATTTCATTAATTGTATTTTTTAGATGCAAGGAAGATTGTTACCAGTAGAAAATATTCATTTTGATAGATATGTAGCTAGAGATGTACAGAATGCTGATTGGGGAAGGGAATCCTCTAATAATAGATGTCTAGTGTCTGTAGAACTAAAAGATTGGGTTGTATTAGCTACTGCTAGAGATATATCTAAAGCTTCAGGTTTTATTGAAATGATGAGTAAAGTTTGTCCTAAGATGGGTATTATGATACATTCACCTAAAGAACGTAAACTGGTAGATGACCGAACAGAAACTTTTATTAGAACTTTGAGAGAGGTCATTACACCAACGGTAAGTAATATGATTGGTTTTTTTTTTAAACTTGGTGACCAAGCAATATAACGTTTTTGAAAAACGCATCGGAGTGATTAATCTAACCTTAGGATTTCTCTTGGTTTTAAATCCTTCACAAGGCTTTAGAGATTTAGTCAAAACCTTGTACACCAATTTCACCAGCCCAAATACTATTTTACCATCTCTTTTAAGGGTTAACAAAGTTTAATCTGATTATGCTTCAATTTTTTTTATTATTTATCTGTAGAATGGTATATATAGTGTGTTTGATTCTCATCTGCTTGGCTATTGTTTCTGGCGTTTCCAATAAATAGTAAAATAACAATGTCATTTAACCCCAATATGATATATTTAATATATATATATATATATATATATATATATATATTGTAAAAGCTATCTTAATTGTTATTCATTAAGGTTAAGTGTTTTAGGCAATGAAGTTTTTTTTTCTCCAGAATTCTTAAGCATGTCTTGATATTTTTATTCTTCCAGACACAAATGGTAGTAATAATATGTCCTACTAGTAGAGATGATAGATATTCAGCTATCAAGAAATTATGTTGCTGTGAACAACCAGTAGCATCTCAGGTAAGGTATATACATATATTATTTAAATTTGACATTTGATGTGAAACATATTTGACATTTGTTTAATCCTTTATAAGTTTATAAGTTATGAAATATATTAAATATTCTTACATGTGTCTGGGTAGAATTAAAAATTGGAATATATTTTTTGATTATTTATAAAGGTTAGAATGAGTAGGTGATCTATCTTGAGACAACTAAATCTATTGACACTTTATTTTAAGGTTATCAATGCTAAAACTATTTCCCAACCACAGAAGATGCGTAGTGTAACAACTAAAATAGCTCTTCAGATTAACTGTAAATTAGGTGGTGAACTGTGGGCTGTTGAAATACCAATGGTAAATATAACATATTTCTATTTTAAAATACTGACACAGTCCGAGATGTCATTGACTGAACTCCAAGATGAATTCCCGAACATCTATAGGAAATTTTTAGTAACTGCTTACAAAAGAAGTAAAAATCTAAGTCATATTCTTGTCCAAGGCAATTAGATCCCCTTTCATTAACTATCAATGTCTCTACTTGTGATCTAGGCCGGTGCTTCTATAGTGGAGTGCCTCTTTTAAAACATAATTATGAATCTCAAAATAGGCCCCTACCACAATTGATATTCCCTGGACCCATAGAAGACAACTTCCATATTTAGCCTCAATTTTGAATGAGAAAATTCAATGGACATCAAAAAGTAATTTCTGAGAAATGCTTGCTCACTTTCCTGTGATAATGAAGTCTGTTTTAGTCCATAAATCCATTAAACCATAAATTCAATATGGAGGTTGATAGCTACAGTGATCTGTGCTTGGAACAAAGAAAGTTACCTGAGTTCAGAATGATCAGTACATTAATTAAGAAATGAAAATGTTGTGTTTTATAGAAAAATGTAATGATTATTGGTATTGATGTGTACCATGATGTAGCTAAAGGTAAAAGATCTATTGCTGGATTTGTAGCTAGTATGAACAAAGCTTGTACCAGATATTACAGTCGGTGTTATTTTCAAGGACAGAACCAGGAGATTATTGATGGATTAAAGATATGTTTGATCAGTGCCTTACGTAAATATCATGAGGTAATTATACTACACTGATTTATTATATTTGATTATTAGATGAACGAGTTTTTCTAGATTAACCTATATGTTGTGATAAACAGTTCAATAACAACACTAAAAGGGATTGTAAAGAGGTTTTCTAAAAAAAATTTGTGTGTATCGGGGAAACTGATAATAAAAACTAAAACTAAGTGTTTGATGTTGTCACTGATCACAAAATAAGCTTCACATAAGGCAATAAGTGTCCCTGATATACATAAAAAATTTAGAAAACTTCTTTACAATACCTAAAAACATGAAAGGGAAGTTGACCTTTGATCAACGGACAAGTTAGCCTAGGACAGAATCCTCCAAAGATTTTTTCCTGTTGCACAAAAGATCTTGGTTTACTGTCCCATCCTTACAACTAGTTGATTCTAACCCCAACAACATATTTGGAAGTATTTCTTAATGACACACAATTTTGTTTGTGCCTGTGCCTTTGTAACATTGTTTTCAATGCAATGTTACAACCATTATTTATAAGTTAGACTGAAACCCTGAACCGTTTCAGAAATCTTGTATTTGAAATACAGGTATATTAATTGTATTATAGGTCAATCATTGTTTACCTGATAAGATTGTGATATATAGAGATGGTGTTGGTGATGGACAGTTACGAGCTGTAGCAGACTATGAAGTCAAACAATTACATACATGTTTTGCTCATTTTCCCAATTACAATCCAAACATGGCATTAGTTATAGTACAGAAGAGAATTAACACTAGACTATTTTTAAAGGTAGGTTCCCCACTGAGAATTATACCTTCTAATTCTCTATAATTAACTCTGTATAGTATTAAAAGTAAGACAATTTATCTGTGTTTGATTGGCTCAGATTAAGTCGATCAAACTACAACTTGCTCTCAGGAAAGTTAAAACTGTATCAGGATTGTTGACCGTATTTGCCAGTATTGTCTGATTAAAGCTTCAAAATATAAAGTATTTCTATTTGTGGAATTCATTTCATAGGTGATGAAACCTAAATTAATATTATGCATTAGCATAAGCTTATATCTGGCCATTTCGGTTCCTCAAATTATGTGATCTACAGATGTAATTATGTCTAGGTTTGGGTTAGCATAGAATGTTACTTTTATGGAAATTAAGTGCGATTTATTTTCCTGTGTGGCCATATTTGTTGGATTAGCATAAACGCAGTTACGGTTATTGCACAAAATCTGCATTTAAGAACTTCAGATCTCAACTTAATCCCTTTCTTTCTAGGGCCGTAATGAAATGGAGAATCCCCCACCAGGCTCTGTAATGGATCATTCTATAACTAGAAGAGATTGGTACGTATTTTTATTTATATAGAACTCGAACTCATACTGCTGACAAGTGATTCTAATATATGTAATCCTTAGCAAGATAGCCTGTTTAGAAATGTGGGTTAATTTATGAGGACTTACATGTGCATCAGCAAAGTTAGCAACTCGTTGATCAGGAGCCAGATAGAATAAACTAGAATATTGTACAGTAGGAGGACTCTTTGTGTAGTAGAATTTTATTGAAAGTTATGAGACCAATCTTGACCAAAAATTAAAGATATCGAAATAAATGCATTCAGGAAAAAACTCAAAATAGCTAGCGTTTCATTATAAAGATTAACAAACGAGGGTTTAATATTTAGTGTGTTCTCTTGACATATACCAGTTCTTTAAAGGTGATGGTAAAGAGGTTTTCTAAATTTTTTATGTGTATCAGGACACTGATATCATCAATTTGCACCATTCCAATTTTCAATCAGATGTCTGTAGTTCCTGCAATTTCACTAAAACTAAGTGTTCGATGATGTCACTAATTGCAAAATATTATGCCTTATCACTTAAGACCCCTTGTGATTAGTAACATCATCAAACACATAGATTTAGTAAAATATCAAAATTCTAGAAAATATCTTATATATTTACAATAAAATACAAATTTATAAATCATATATAAATGAACAGGAGAGAACTCTCTCTATAAGGTTTATAGAAAAATATCAAAATTCTAGGAAATATAATCTTATAATCTTTGTAAGACATACAGAAGCAGTGTTCTTGAATATAATCTTATATAGAACAGAGATATTTATAATAGTATACAAATGATAACTAATTTAGAAACTAACACTAGTTGTCGGTCAAATGTCATATGATTGATATACTCTTCATGCAATTTTCACTCAATAGAATGTTGATTGCATGAAAAAGTAGATTAGGTTTTAAATTATGATACTGACAAAACTCTAGATATTTCTCTGTTCTGTATAATATCAGATTGCGGCATTTTGGGGTTTGACTTGAGTCTTGAAAATATATAAATAGTCTTCAGGAGTACTAGAAAGGTACGAAAATCATAAAATACCCTTCAAAAATATCTCAAACTAAGAGTTTAGACCAGAGAATATGATATGACTAAATTAACACTATTTCAATGATATTTCTCTGATCTGTATAATATCACATTGAGCTACAAACTGATTGTCAGAATTTAAATAGCCATTGTTTTTATCAGTGAATGAGGCCAGGTGATAGGATACATATAACCACAATAGCTTCCATCTGTATCAAATCTCTTGTTACTATCTGTATATGTTAAAGTTTTACTGTCATCATCAATATTCAATAAACTGAGTTGATAATCAATAATACAATATTTTAGTTTAGAATTGTTAACTGATAATGGTTTAATACCACAATACATACCACCATAAAACCTTCCTGCACTACAACTCCATATCAGGTTGTTGATTCTTTAGAAATAACCGACCCTAACTGATCCATATCTAAACTAGAATCCTTTTCCTCCCACTGTAAATACTGTATATATAGATTATAATAGTTCTTACTTTCACCCTGTTTTTCTATTTCTTTCAAACGAGGCAATGTTTGTAAAATGTTTAATGTTGTTTTAGTTGAAGGTGAAATATTTGATTGCATTTTACTTTGTAATCTATTTATTTTACTTGTAATTTCCTTTTCTCTATCTTCTACTTTACTCCTATTTTCTTCCAAATTTTTCCTGATGTCTTTTCTAATCAGTTCACAACTTTGTCGTAAATCTGAAACAATTTGCTCAGTTTTTTCAGTCACGCAAGAATCCTCACACAAAGATTTCATTTGTTCAAATGATTTTAGTAATGAAGATCGAGTTTTCTCCAAGTTTTTGATTCTGTTTTGGATGATTTTTGTGAATGTTGAAGTTTTTCTATGGCTTTATTCCGTGTTTTGTCACTTTCTAAATCCAGTGTTTCATGTTTTTGTGTAGTCCTAATATACACTTGGAACACAGTACTATATTACAATTAGTACAGTAATAATCCATCCCCCTATGATTATGGGTGTGTTGTTGAGGAAGGTTCAGGTTTTTCTGTTTGTTGGTGACATTTTGGGTGTGTTGTTGAGGAAGGTTCAGGTTTTTCTGTCTGTTGGTGACATTTTGGGTGTGTTGTTGAAAGAGGTTTACATTTTTCTGTTTGTTGGTTGACCATCTGTACCATAAGTATAAAGTTGGTAGGAAACTCCTTTGCACCACCGTTTGGAATATATCCTTCTTACACAATGGACAGGGGAATATCTTTATCTTAGTACCAATATGTTTCTCTATATTACTGATATGTTCTTCAATGCACCTTAAACAAAAGGTATGTCCACATGGTGAAAATTAGTTCACACAGTATTGAGTAAAACTTTTATAAAAATTCTAGTCACTATATAATTGTTTAAAATTAAAGGAATAGTGTATCAATGATGATTAAATAAAAGCATTCTACAAGTTTTTGTGGTTGTGTGCCTCTCTATTTGTCTTGAAGATCATATTGATTTTTGTAGATAGATGATTATAAAATGGCTACTTTAACTGTGGGTGCACATCATTACGGGAGGAAAAACCAATGATCTAACATCCTTCACAATTTATTTAATTTTAAACCAAGCAAAAGATCATAAATCTGTGCATGGATAACACTTTTTTAAACTCAACACACTTTTTCAGAAATGAAACTCTTGCATATGATTTCGATAGGGTTCATCCTTGGTTGATTACAAACACTAGTATATCGTGGGTGACCGTCTGAAACCTTATATATAACAGTATAAGACACAAAATTACTTTCGATAAAAAAGCTAAAAATCATTTGTTAAAATCTTTTTATATTTTCATCATCCATGCCTGTCCACAATTGCTCGTAAACACTCTACAAGGCACAATTCTTGACAAACTTAGTATGGTTGTTTGTTACTCCCAAGGATGAAAACCAGAAAAATTGAAAAATATATAGTATGAGTTATTGCCCTTGATCTTGAAACGCTTGTAAACACTCTAAAAGGGGCATTTCTTGACAGATTTTTACGAAACTTGGTGCGAATGTTTGTTATCACCCAACGATGATCCCTATCGAAAATCAGAAAAATCGAAAAAATATTTAGTACGAGTTATGGCTGACTTTCTTGAAAAAGCGTTCAATTTTTAGCTTGTAAACACTGTAGAAGGCATAATTCTTGACAAATTTAGATGAAACTTGGTATGAATGTTAGTAAAGTTCAACTCATGGCTTGTGTTTTTATCCTGTTTAAAATTGAGGTCCATCAACATCATTGTGAATATCAAGTTTAGATATATAACTTGTATTACTGATATATCAAAGTAACTGATATGCAAAGTGCTTACTGTCAATATATGTATTTTTGTTAGCATGTTTAAAAAAACCTGTATAAAAACATCAATCAATCACTTCAGTGGTGACATTTTATGGCCAATGGATGCACTATTTTTATACCCACATGAGAAAAAATTTGATATGATTTCTTGCCCTTGTTGTTGAAAACTCATTAAGTTTTTAGCTGGCAAACATTCTAGAAGGGACAATTTTTGGTGGATTTTGAAGAAATTTGGATTGAGTGTTTTAATGAACCTATTAAAAATAAAAAAACAATATTGATATATGTTAATGCCCTTGTTCTTAAAAACGCATTAAATTTTTAGCTCGTAAACACTATAGAAGGCTCAATTCTTGACAGATTTTGTCTAAACTTTATAAATTGTTCAGTATCATTAATAGATAAAAAAGGGAGTAAAATTCCTAGTTTGAGATATTTTTGAAGGAATTATGCAATTTTCGTACATTTCTAGTATAGAAGTCTATATACATGGGCTAAAATGGTACAACTGTCCCTGTAAGTCAAAGCTTACTGTGCTTGTTGTTGGTATTAATAACCTATAAAGAGAGGATCCATCTAGTTGTCATTTCAGTAATTATAAGTGTCAATTGTAATTGTAGATCAAAGATTAGTGCCTCTATATCTGTTGACTGACAAGACATATAATCAGACATAATTTAACTAACTTACTAGGACATTGTTATACATCAAAGATTATCTTAGTTTTGTTTCCGGTAGAGTATATGTCTGAAATAAAAGTTCACATAGTATAGATCTAGTTTGAGTAGGTGTTATTTTTTCAGTTCAGACCAGCAGGTTGTTGATTAAAAATTTTCCTAGAAATTTCCGATATTGGTATAAGTAGATCAAATCATCTTAAATTGTGGGTTTCAATATTTTTGTACAGGGAAATGAAATTTGAGCTTCAAATCCCTTTAAGTTTCAACGTATGTAAGCTTACACATAGTTTGTGAGAACCTTTCATGGAACACAAGAAGTGTTAATGCTTTCACTTTAGATATTCTTGACTTATCTGATTTTTAGCGTGTGCGACCTTAATTTAGGTTCATTGTGTCATGGGTCTAGCTAGATTTAACAAAAAGAATTTGAATGGATTTCGTGTTATTTAACATTTACTCAAATTAATATTTATATAAACAAATTACAAAAGATTTCTGCCTTGAGCCAAAAAGTGTTTCAAAACAGAGTTTATTATTTTTTCTTTTGATCTGATGTCATGCCAATAAATATGATGGGAAATACAAAGATGTGAATTTAATTAATAGAAGCTAAAGGCATTATATATTATTTAGACAATAATTGTATTGTTTCTATTTATTAATAATCCTAATAGAAATGCTAAATAAACACGAAAGACTGATTTAAAAGTCTATTTCATTCATATATTAATTGCAATATGGCTCATAAACTTAATATTTAGGCTTGAAGGGATTGTAAAGAGGTTTTCTATATATTTTATTTGTATTGCGGACACTGAAAGCATCCATCGGCAACATTCCATTTTTCAGTCAGATGTCTGTTATTCCTGCATTTCCATTTAAAAAGTGTCTGATGATGTCACTAATTGTGAAGGGCCTTAAGAGATATAAGTGATGTCATCAAATTCTTATTTTTTGAGGAATTACAGGAACCACAGATGTTTGAAAAATTTAGAAAGACCTCTTTAAAATTCTTTCAAGTTCAGATTTTGAGTCCAATAAAAAAAGCATTTAACTCAAACTATTTGATAATGCTCATCTGATCTGACCTGTTTTGAAATGGTTATCTGGACAGCTTGGATAGATTGTTGAAATATCATTTTCTATGTTTCAGGTATGATTTCTTCTTAGTAAGTCAACATGTAAGACAAGGAACAGTGTCTCCTACACATTATATAGTGGTACATGATGGTACCGGTTTAACTGTTGATAGAATGCAGAGATTAACCTATAAGATGACACATCTGTATTATAATTGGCCAGGAACTGTTCGAGTACCAGCTCCATGTCAGGTAATATCTCAATTACAGGTTACTCAATGAATTCTAGTCACATCTGATAGGAACATAGTCACTGACTAATTTACTTTTTCAACTCCCAATTCCTCGTCCCAAATAGAAAATGTGCAAATTCAGAGATATGATATTAACCCTTTCAATCCTAGCAGCCGGTTTACAGGCCACACACTAACGCAATATATACCCGAGCAGCTGTTACGTCATACAAAACGTCATATGCTTTTACTGTTATTACTTAGAGTTCAGGATATATGATAGTATATGATATTTACACTCAGGGTTCAAAGGGTTAACAATGAAATTCTACATTGCTCACAAAAAGAGATCATTTATTGAACAGAGTATTTGCTGAAAAATGAAATGAAGCATCCATATTTGTATTTTAATCTGTTTTTTTTAGTTATAAATTAATTTTATCTTTTCAGTATGCTCATAAATTGGCATATTTAGTTGGACAGAGTATCCATAAAGATTTCTCAGAAGCTCTATCAGATAGACTCTTCTTCTTATAACCTGGAACAGTCACAGACAAACTGCAATATATGATGGTGCTATGATTTTGGTGCTGTCTGTGTGTTAACACTGCCTGTTTTTGATACTACTGTGCAAGAACAAATAACAGCAAATCTTAGAAACTATTATTCTATTTAAGCTCAGGGAATATCTGCAATTCCATCTGTTATACTCTCAATTTTGTGAATATTGATCATAAAGTCTTCACATAGACTTACCAATTATCTTCTGTAAAGTACTGAATTTGTCGGTGCTAACCATTGAAATTTGACTATACTATATACATTCTAATCACATCATTTCTTATTTTGCTTATGTAGTCAATATCAAAATAACCCTTCCTACTCTAATTTCGAACCATGCTTTTATTTTTTACAATTTGATAATTTATATTTTGTATATCTATGTTGTATTAAACCTTATTTGTAGAACACTAGTTGTGTTTATAAGTTTTTTGTTTTTTTTTAAGATTTTCAAACATTAACTGCCTTATCCAAATAATAACTTTTAAGACAAATTACTGTTTTTCTTGGAATGGGAATTAAATTAATGCCAACCAATTTTTTAACTAATCAAATTACAAATTCAATTTCTAATTGTAGTGTTTAGTTAGAATAGAATTATTTAGTATTAGTGGTTAAATTTGATAGAAATTTTAACAAGTTAGTTTTATTAGTAGTTTGTTACTGTTTTAATTACTGTTAATATTTTATAATTAATTAGAATGATTATTTAATATTAATTTGCTTAGATGGGTATTTTATAAATTCAGTTTGTTACACATCCCACAACTTCTGTTAAGTTGCTTTATTTTTCAAGCTTGGCATATCTTAAGTGATCTCAAAACATTTTTTAGGTCTTTACAGTGATCATGTAATATTCTACACCCATGCCACCTTATAGTCTTTCTTATTAAATTTAAATCATTATTAAAATTGGAAATTTAAGTTTCATTAGTTGACTGTATAATAATGAAAGATATCAATTTTAGACTGTTTAATAACTTGGATTTCAGCAAAGGAGAAAAGGATGATCATGACCTATAAAGGAATTATAAAGAGGCTTTCTAAATTTTGTATGTGTATCGGGGACATTGATAGCATCTATTTGCAACATTCCAATTTTCAATCAGACATCTGTGGTTCCTGCAATTCCACTAAAAATTGCAAAGTCCTTATGTGATAAAGAATATATTTTGAAATTAGTGATGTCATCAAACATTTAGTCTTAGTAGAATTGCAGGAACTTATTATGAACCAATAATATTCATTGATTTACATTCTACAATTCAAATTCAAGCTTTATTAATTTAGTATATTCTCAACATGTCAATTTCTTTATTGTTATGTTGGTCATTTAAAAATAATTCATAAGAAGTATCAGTAATCAAAAGCAATTATTATGGACATTTATTCATTCTTATAAGAGTTTTTGACATAAAGTTTTTGCCAGTATTGTCAAAGTAGAAATGAAAGGTTTTCATTATCATTTCATGTTTTTAAGTCAAGTTTGTAAAACTACATGAAGATAACATGTTCATAGTTTATATATTTTTGTTAAATTTTTTTATTAAAATTTCTAAAACTATTCTACTCGTTTGTTTGAAAAAAAACTGTGGCACTGGCACATTTTACATTTCTAAAAAAGGATTTCCTTTTACTTTTGAAAGGATTGAATTCTAACTACATATAGAATGGGCTCTACTAGGTAGATGTTTGCTTTTCTTGGGGTTCAGACTTTGATACATTTATAATCAAGATGACATAGTAAGATTCTGTGCCCAGTTTCCACTTTCGCTGATTTTATTGTGTTGGTAAAATTAGGGGCTGCAGGATGTGCTTCCGAACTCAAATAATGACCACCAAATGATAAATTGTGATAGCTTCAAATCTAGTAGTTATTTTAAATTTTCGTCTTTAGTAAAACAGATGTCCTATTTCTATTTCTATACGCCCACATGGAAATGTGGACGTATATTGCCGTCCGTCCGTTCACATTTCTTGTAGGCGCGATAGAGGCTACAGTTTTTCTCCGATCTTGATGAAACTTGGTATACATGTATATATTGATGAGATCTCGGTCAAGTTCGAAATTAGTAATAATCGGATGAACGGTTTCAGAGTTATTGCCCTTTACTTAGTAAAAACTCGTCAAATTTGACTTGTAGGCATGATAGAGACTACAGTTTTTATCCGATCTTGATGAAACTTTGTATGCATCTATATATTGATGAAATGTTGGTCAAGTTCGGAATTGGTAATAATCAGATGAACAGTTTCAGAGTTATTGCCCTTGACTCAGTAAAAACGAATCTAATTTCGATTTTCGATCGGCACAATAGAAACTACAGTTTTTATCCATGTTTATATTGATGAGATCTCACTCGAGATCGTTATTGGTAACAATCGGATGAAGGGTTTCGGAGTTATTGCCCTTGACTTAGTAAAAACTTGTCAAATTCGGCTTGCAGGCACGACAGAGACTACAGATTTTAACCAATCTTGATGAAACTAGATATGCATGATGAGATCTCGGTCAAGTTAGAAATTGGTAATAATCGAACCAACAGTTTCCGAGTTATTGCCCTTGTGTGTACAGCGATGAGACATTGTTCATGTTTGAATTTCATGTTAACTTGATGAACTGTTTCAGGTTTTTGCCTTGGCTGAAGGATGATTTAAAGATTATTTGAAAATTCATTATTAAGCCACTAAAGATTTTGTTATCATTCTGACAGCTGGTAGTTGGCGTATATTACCTTGCCTGGCAAGCTATCTTAAAACTGGTAACTGACATTGGAAGTCCAGGTGATATTGAGAAGACTTGAAATCCATCGGGAAATAGAGATAACAAGTTCTAAATGCAGATTAATTCCTGCAGGATTCCATAATTCTCTCGGTATTGATTTTAATGTTTAAATATTTAAATTCAGACCATTGAAATGTAAACATGTGATAAACAACGGTTTTAAATGAGCCCTGACATAAATAATTGGTCTTAGAAGAAATTGGAGGAGCTCTGACAAAAACAATTGATAATGTTCGAAAACCTAAAAGAAGGGGTTAGGGGTTCAAGAAAAAATTGACATGCAGAATTAGTAAAAGAAAATAAGCTCTCCAAGCACTTGATTGGAAGTTATAGAAAGTACTAAGGAAGCTTGGCACTTGTGGATAACTGATAAATATGTTTTAGCCTTTTTTGATCAAAATGTTTAGCTATTTCGAATTCGTCTAATACCAAGATTCACAAGAAAAGTGCCTAATGTTGTCATGGTAATAGACGAAGTTCATAATAGCTTGAAATTGTGAAGATGTTAATGGATTGGAAATAATATGCGGGTAACCGATCTTCCTGTGACAAGGTCACTGTGCCCTGTAGAGATATCGAGTGTTAATTTGTTATGAATATGCATTTGGATTTAGATAATCATTCATCTTGAGTGATTGATAAAAATTCTAGTCTTCAACTGATGAATGGTTAAAAATCCATAATGGTTATTTTTGTCAAAGCCTTATATAATGCAGAGTTCATTAAGAACTCCCAATTTACACATTAGCGTTTTTTGTATTGAAATTTCTTTTTGAAATGCAGTTTCTTTGACAACAGATAGATTATTATCGAAAGAACTATTTAATAAGGCTGGGGGCTAATCTGGTTTTTAGGAATAATTATCATTTCTTGAAACTCCACAAAATCAGCTGATTTTAGGCATTTCAATATAAATACGCCTTAAAGCTCATTATGTGTGATTTAATTTATTTGCGCTAAAAAACTGTTATCATTTCAACAATATTAACTAGAAGTAGTTGCCACGTTAGCCGATGAACACGTTTTTGTTATCAATCCGTTGATATATAAACAAGACACTAAAGTCATGTGAACACGATGCCGTGGTAACTCCTATTCTGTACTGAGGTTAGCTTGTTAACACAATACTGTAGTCACATCCACCCCGAATCTTGTAAATATGTGAAGGAAGACTCTTATGTCTATGGTGTTGTCACACCCACCCCTGTCTTGTGTCATTATTTTAGTCACCCAAACGCGTTCTATAAGCGTGCGTCCTACTCTGTCTATACACTGACATGTAAACATGATACTATAATCACCCTACCCTGTCTATAGACAATGACTTATAAACACGATACTATAACCACCCTACCCTGTATATATACACTGACCTGTAAACACGATACTATAATCACCTCTACCCTTTCTATAGACAATGACTTATAAACACGATACTATAACCGCTCTACCCTGTCTATATACACTGACCTGTAAACACGATACTATAATTACCTCTACCCTGTCTATAGACACTGACTTGTAAACACGAAACTATAGTCACCCCTACCCTGTGTACAGGCCTGTCAACACGATACTATAATCACCCCTACCCTGTTTATAGACACTGACTTGTAAACACGATACTATAGTCACTCTACCCTGTGTACAGACCTGTCAACACGACCCCTACCCTGTCAACACGACCCCTACCCTGTCTACAGACACTGACTTGTAAACACAATACTATAATCACCTCTACTCTATCTATAGACAGTGACTTGTTAACACGATTCTATTATCAACCCTACCCTGTCTACAGACACTGATTAATAAATACGATACTATAATCACACCTACCCTGTTTATAGACACTGACTTGTAAACACGATACTATAGTCGCTCTACCCTGTGTACAGACCTGTCAACACGATACTATAATCACCTCTACCCTGTTTATAAACATTGACTTGTAAACACGATATTATCATCAAGCCTACCCTGTCTATAGACACTGACTTGTAAACCCGAAACTATAATCACCCCTATCCTGTTTATAGACACTGGCTTGTAAACACGATACTATAGTCACTCTACCCTGTCTATAGACACTGACTTATTAACACGATACTATAACCACCCTACCCTGTATATATACACTGACTTGTAAACACGATACTATAACCACCCCTACCTTGTCTATAGACACTGA